AATTAAGACAGACTTCTTGCCTGATTGTAATTCATAGTTAAGTTACTCGTGTGTCAATTTCACCTACATCTGTGTCAAAACTTTATGGTTTTGGAGTGTTAATAAATGTTCTTTGGTCTTGTCTAGTTTGCATTATCATCATCGCCTTGAAAATCAATGTTATTGTGGAAAGTTTAAATGTGGAGGATCGCACTGACATATGGGTAGTAAGCCGAAGGCCGGATGACGTCACAAATGACTGTTGTGTTATGTATTACTGCGCCATTGTGAATTTGAGAAAAGACGAAATACATCATCTGATGCAAAAAAGGTGCGATTTTAGGGTGTTTAAGAAACAGATTACAGCACTCATGCCTGTCAGACACCATTTATCTTACAACTTGTTTCAAAACAAAAATGATCCTGCTTGTGAGATACCTTTTGAAACAACTTGTAAGTTAAATGGTATCTGACAGACACTCGTGTAGTAATCTCTATTGTCATTTCATGACCTGTGACTTTCAATGATGATCCTACACAGCCTACACCAAGAACCCTGTCTCCACCCCTACACCCACCGGCCCACCCCACAACTCCCCCACCCCAATAGGCCCCCACCCAAGAAAGCCCCCAACAACAGCCCCACAAACACAAAAATACATGCCATCGTTCCTCTTATTGACACTAAGTCATAGGCTCTGTCCATAAAGTAGAAATCGGATCTCTAAGACTGTGATATGTTAGTGATTAATAATTACCATTTCCTGCAAATGTGCCCATAATAATGTGTGACTAAAATTTGGATTTGATAAGGTAGCGAGTTGCCACTGTGCCAGCATTTAACAGAACAGACACTGGGCCTGCAATAGACGCTGAGTTAAACTAAGAGATGGTCAGGTGTCTAATAGAGGAAATATGGTATGCATGTTTTGAGTAAAATACTGCAGTGGCTGAAAAAATTATCTAGAGCCCTGTTTAAACCAAAGTTTGGATTGCATACTTGTATGTACGACAAACCTTGGAAATCATCTATGTACCCTGGGCCCTTAATACATTAAATACGGTAAGATATATGCAATGACACAGTTCACTGTGCATGCACTTTGTCAATAACAGGAAATAGGTGAGATGTCAATCATGTCAGTGTTGTAGATTTCAGTGAACACTGGCAGCTACAGAGACGTCACTCAGTCATCAGTCCAAATACTGTCTTGCGAAATATACCATATTTCCTCTATTAGCTGCCACAACTCCCAATACACGCAGGCCTCTAATTGATGATGGGTAATTCACTCAGTACAAAAAATAGAAGCCAGGTCTCTAATGCTGTGAAATGTTAGTGATTAATAATGACGATAAATAATGTATCAATGACTGTAGAATTTGGGATTCCGTAAGGTTGCGACTGTGCTAGCATTAAACATATTTAACAACAAACTAAATATGTGATAATTAGCTCCTTAATCATGTTCATACCATTGTGTTTCGGTACTAACATTTATTTTCATGAATTACAATTATTACAGATGTGTCATGTTTATACATGTATAAATATATTAATCTTATATAATATCTATTATACAGATTTATGTATGCATTTAATGAAAAGAGTGTAGAGTACTTGTCTATATACATGATATAGGCAGTAAGTGATATACATGATATATGCAGGTTAATTATAGTATACGACGGTCGGGTAGCCTAGTAGTTAAAGCATTCGCTCCTCACACAGAAGACCTGGGTTTGATTCCCGACATGGGTACAATGTGTGAAGCCCATTTGTTGTGTCCCCCGCCGTGATATTGCTGGAATATTGCTAAAAGGGGCGTAAAACCTCACTCACTCACTAATTATTGTATACACTTGTCTAATCATGCTAATAGAGAAGACATGAAGTGTGCAAGTATTGTACAGTATATGATTTGACTTCAGTGTTTGTATAGATATATATATATATCATGTAATATAAATTTACAATTTGGCTATGGTGTATAAAGGAAGTATACATTAGTAATGTACGGCGCCCCTTCCTCAAAGCGATGTTAACCTTAAAATAACTCCCATAGTTAGACATAGGCTTTCGACAGTCATAATGCTATGATCACTTTGTGGCATGGATCCCTGTATATACTTGTCCCAATAGTGTATACATGATATAAAGTAGTTAGGGCTGGGGTGGGTAACTCGGGTACTCGGGTCGGGTGGGTCCTGAGAAGAACTGGGTACCCACAGGACTACCCGACCCATGGTAAGTCACATGATATATTGTTAATGACAAGAATTATCTGAAACTCTATGGTTTCACTACAAGTCACTAATGTTCACATTTCTTTCTTACGATGCACCCATTCCTTCAGACTTTTATATGTTTGAATAAAGGTAAAACTTCCTTCAGTAAACTGTAAGTGTATGCATGACCAGATCCTTTTATACATGTATCTAAATACATTTTGGGAAGGCAAACTTTTCCCAATAGGACAGTTAATACCTATCTCTTGAGACCTACAGTAGGTACCCTGGCAGAGTCGAGTAACAGGGGGTAGGGTACCCGGGTAGTAAATTTTAGACTCTTCCCGGCCCTAAATGTAGCCTACACTTTTTGTATGTTTTCAGACGGTGTACATAAAGTATGTATACAAGTCTTAGTGAACATGGTGTATACACTTGTTGATGGGCACAGCACACTGAAAGAGGTGATCAGTAGAGGTGACTAACAAGCCAGGCCTATGCTGCATGTACAAGTTATCCCTTGATAAATGTCATGGCTGCGGCTTATGGTGTAATTAGCATGAGGTAATTAGTGCAGGTCATGGGAAGAAGCAGTTATATAAGCCATTACATGTAATATTAGGCCAAACCTTCTAGTTCCTGGTTTGTGGATGTCTTTTTCCGGGAACGGTAACCATGGTGATTTATTTGGGAATAGAAGGGACTCCAAACCTATAATTGAGTCCTAGCATCTTCCCGAGGCAAGGGTTGTTGGTTGGTTTGTTGTTAAACGCCACACTCAGCAATATTCCAGCTATATGACGGCGGTCTGTAAATAATCGAGTCTTGACCAGACAATCCAGTGATTAATATCATGAGCATCGATCCACGCAATTGGGATCGATGACATGCATCAACCAAGTCAGCGAACCTGATCACCCGATCCCGTTAGTCGCCTCTTACGACAAGCATAGTCACCTTTTACAGCAAGCATGGGTTGCTGAAGACCTATCATACCCCGGAATCTTCACGGGTCTTCCGAGACAAGGGACCCGAGGCAAGGGAGTTAACTGACTATAAAGTCCTGTTTCCGTTCTTGCCGAACAAGAATGAAATTCTGGAGTTACATTTTGGTTGGACCAACGAGTTTATGCATAGTCAAATCAAAATCACTTAATGAACTAGACATCAAGTTCGTAAACAACATGCAGATTTCGGACGACTGCAGGATTTGCAAGGCATGTGCACTGTCAACCGGGAGTCGACAGATATTTTGGAAATCTTTTCATGTTTTTAATCAAGGTGCTCAAGTAATTTGATGCATCTTGAGGGGAGGTGGGGTAGCCTAGTGGTTAAAGCTTACGCCCGTCATGCCGAAAACCCGGATTTGATTTCCCACATGGGTACAATGTGTGAAGCCCATTTCTAGTGTCCTCCACCGTGATGTTGCTGGAATATTGCTAAAAGTCGGACCCTAGTCACTCACTGATGCATCTTGCTTGGTAAGACCCATTTTATTGCAATATTGATCTTGATTATCGATCAGATCATCTTGACTGGTCACCGGCATTTTGTTTGAAGCAAATGCAAGTAATATGAGAGATGGAATCTGGTTGGCTGGTAGGAGGAACATAGAAGGGACATAACTCTGGTAATAGCAATTGGTGGTGATATGATCGGGTCTGGTTCGGCAAGGATGGTAACTGGACTTTTATAGTCAGTTAATGCCCTTGACTCAGGAAGATGGAGTTCCAGGTGAAAAAATGGGGGTCCCAAGCTACATAATGAGGGTTCTAAATGTCATGAATATAGTACTCTATTCAACGCCATAAGGTAGTTTCTGAAGTATAGATACTGAGTTCCTCAACTGAAACAAGTCTACAAGTGCTTGCTGGTACCAAATTAATAGATAGGAGCATCCATTCAGGAACATGCATGTGACTTTCCTGCGTCCCAGTTGATGCAAATTTTTGCATCCAATTTCAATTTGTTTGTGTATAGGTTGTAGGATTTTGCGTCTGTGAAAAATTCTGTTCGGTAGATTTTGGGGAAAATATGTCATCTGTTATCTGAATATGGCATCATTTAGTTGTTGTTTTTGAAATTGTTTTGGTCCATATGTATTGCAGTAAGAGACAACCAAATTGGTCGAGTGGTCAGGCTCAGTGACTTGGTTGATTACCCGCGGAGATCAGGGGAAGAATAAGTCTTCAGCAACCCATGCTTGCTGTCAAGAGCGACTATGCTTGTCGTAGGAGGCGACCGAAGGGATCAGGTGGTCAGACTCACTGACTTGGTCGATGCATGTCATTGTATCCCACTTACGTGGATAGATGTTCATGATGTCAATCACTGGATTGTCTGGTCCAGACTCGATTATTTACAGACCGCCGTCATATAGCTGGAATATTGCTGAGTGCAGGGTTAAATGACAGACAGACAGACAAACAGACAGACAGACAAACAGACAGACAGACTTGGTTGATGGCCTGTCATCGTACCCCAGGTAGCCTGGACTGATGTTCACTGGATTGTCTGGTCCAGACTCCATTATTTACAGTCCACAGTTATAATTTACCTTTAATATCAGTGAATGTTGCTGTGTGCTGCATTAAACAACAAACAAAATTTGTCTCGCGTAATGGCATGTAAAACAAATCTATATGCTTTGCAAATTCTTTAAAAAATTGGTAGAAAATCATGATACATTCACCATGCAACACAAGGTTCATTAGTACAGTGATCCTGTGAGATTGACGATCTATCACTTTGTGTCAACATCCTGTCACTCACCTGTCGTCGTCTGTTTCCAGGTACTCCCCATCAATATGACCCCACCTTCAAGGGCCCAATCCACAACAGGTGAGTCACCTTGCTGTCTCCACACCATGGAGGGGTGGTGGGATAGCCTAAGGGTTGAAGTAATTTCGGTCTCTATTTGAAGTGAAGCAAATGATTTTGTTGAGAGTAAATCTACATCGACAAAATAAATGCAATAATTAATGCTGAAATGTTGGGCAGTTTGGACTAGATTGTATCTATACCGACAGAAATGTTACTCTAAGCCACAGGAAAGGGTGCAGGCAGCTTATATAATTTATGGAAATGAGTGACTCGAGACTTAGTCCCATTTTAGTGCAATATGTCACTGTCATTATAACATGTCAATGTCTTGTACATTGCACAGTTGGCCCTGTCCTGCTTGTAGCCAACCGGTTTGTATTGCAAACATTCTGTCGTCCATTGCAACGGGAACAAGTGATGTATAAATATTGGACCTTTTCAGGCAGGGCTGGCAATTCAAATTGTGGCTTCCTGTGTCATGTTTGAAATGCCATAGATTTTTGATTTGGCAAGTAAAAAATTATTGTATTTGAGCTTGGTAAATAAGTGAAGGGTCTGCAGTCTTAGTCATACATTGGTTGACAGTGGTCTATAGCTTCAATGCGGTGTAGATGAATGGAAGGTGTATACATTTCAATTTACAACAATTAAGATTCACTTGTCCAAATGATTTATTTCTGTTGATTTCTTTGATCTCTCCATGATTTAACTGGAGTTTTGCTGGACCATAAATTTGCATCCTGTAAGCATTAAATATTATTGAATATTATTGATTTTTTTCTCAAAGATTCTATTTTAATTGGGTTATTACATTTTTGATTGGGTAACAAATATTTTCTATCTCATATATTCATCACTTGATTGGGTTTTTCCCAAAATGAGTAAACATTTTGAGATTTAAAAAAAAAAAAAAAAAATTTTTTAGATGTATATTAGGGTTCTAACTATAGGCTTGACTCGGAGAGCAAATTAGCTCGTAATTGTGTGTTGGAAATTAGCTCCGTTGTACACATACTGAAAAAGCTTCATTTGGTATTTAGACGTGCTGTTTTTGTACATTTGAGTTTTTCATTTAATGCATGTGTTTCTTTACACAAGTTAAATGAAAGTAATTGGGTTTTGAATATTTTGGGGGGTATTTTACGCAAATACGCTGCTTATCTATAGCTCTGTGTAAATGGTTTAAAGTTTTTCACCAAAATACAGACAGCACTTCTTGTGACATCTCTTAGATTTAAGTTCTTGGTATCCCTTCCACCAACAAGACAATGCAGAATGTGTTACTGTGAATAAACAGCACACAAACTCTCTGCCCCCCTCAGTAAATATCAACACAACCGGAAAGTTGTCTATTTCTACAGCTGACGATATCCACACTTGTTGAGCCAGTTTTTGCTTCGGTGCCAAGCAGTGTTACATAACGACAACAGCATCTGGTTATGACCTGTTCACAGAGAAAGAGTGTATAAATACCATTGCCATAGAAACACATCTTTAACCCCAGTTCTCCTCTATAGAAACTGGGTTCTGACTCAGCTGTCATGGATAATCATGTTTATTACATAGATCAGATATTATCATGGCTTGGCTTTTGTATGAGCATGTAATTTGTACCTAAAGTGCTTTTACTGCCTTTTACAAGATAGAGCTGGTGTGTATTTCAATAACTATGGCTCAATTAGAAGTCTTACTGAAAGAACGTCAGAGTTGATATTTGTATTATGAACTTGATGAAAGAAAATAGTCATTATGGTCAAACTGTACTCTGATGATATATATGCACTTATACAGACACTTATATTCTAACTTGATCCGTGAAGATCCGGGGAAGAATAGGTCTTCAACAACCCATGCTTGCTGTAGAAGGCGACTATGCTTGTCGTAAAAGGCGACTAACGGGATTGGGTGGTTAGACTCTCTGACTTGGTTGATGCATGTCATCGTATCCCAATTGCGTGGGTCGATGCTCATGATGTCAATCACTGGATTGTCTGGTCCAGACTCGATTATTTACAGACCGCCGTCATACAGCTGGAATATTGCTGAGTGCAGCGTTAAAAAAACAAACAAACAAAACAAACAAACAATATATTCTAACTTAATACATAGTTTTATCCTGAAATTTGTTTTGGGTGACACTATTGGGTGGGAGGGGAGTGTGTGTGTGGGGTGGGGTTTCAAATTTTAAAAAAGGGATTGTAACAGTTGCCATCAATATGAACTTGATGAGAGAAAATGAAGTGCTTGTACTCTGTGATGGGCAGATATTGTTGTAAGTGATGAGACAAAGTTGTTCAATAACTGGAGGCATTTTTTCAGCCTGATTCACACTGGTTAAACGAGAATATCTGGCTGTTTTTCCAGTCACTGCACATTCCAACCTACTGTATTCTGACAGTACTGGAAAATAACCATGACACATTGACCTCACACACTGTGTGATATAACTGAAATACTGTTCAAAGCAGTGTTAAACCAAACTCACTCACTGCTATTTCCAGTGTTTGGAATGGATCAGTATTATATATAAATCATATATATCAGGGATGTCGTGGATCGTTGTTTACAATATCATTCAAATGATTGTCTGGTCCAGAATCTCTTATGAACAGGCTGGCCCATGCTGATCCGGGTAGAATAGGTCTTCAGCAAACCATGCTTGCCGTAAAAGGCGACTACGCTTGTCGTAAGAGGCGACTAACGGGATCGGGTGGTCAGGGTCACTGACTTGGTTGATGCATGTCATTGTATCCTAATTTGGTGGATCGATGCACATGATGTCAATCACTGGATTGTCTGGTCCATACTCGATTATTTACAGACCGCTCTCGGCCTTAAACTATAAACATGATATACAAACACACATGTACTTCCTACTGTAATTAAGCAGGAATATTGCTGAGTGTATCATTAAACTACAAGCAAACAAAACAGATGAGTATTAACATGATTAAAGAATAAAATGAGGAATTTGTGACTTCTTGTCATGTACTCGGTTGTATTTGTCTGAAGTCTAAGATGTCCCAGTTGAGTGATATGGCTGGAGGCAAGTTATGTTGTGTGTATTTGCCCAGCAATCAAACATGACCTCACAAAACCTGTAGGATAGCTACAGGACAGACATTAGGATAGTTTAAGGATGCTATGTGTCACAGGGACACTAATTTTGGACAGGAGGATGATTCATATGTTTCATGTGTTTCATAATAGTCACACATTTTGGGCCACACTTTGTTAATTTTTGTTTCGCGGATTCACAAGGTCGATTTATTTGTCATTTATTTATTTATGTTTTTATCTTTTTTTCTTTTTTTTATTTATTTATTTATTTATTTATTTATTTATTTATTTATTTATTTATTTATTTATTTATTTATTTATTTATCTATCCATCCATCCATCCATCCATCCATCCATCCATCCATCCATCCATCCATCCATCCATCCATCCATTCATTCATTCATTCATTCATACCATGGAGTTAAAACTGCAACTGGCTTTTGAATCACTGATCATAAGTGATGTAGACCTGGAATATATATATAACATTTTATATTGTAGAGTGTCTATGTTACTACCAAAGGACATAATAGAAATAAGGATTTTTATGTTTCATTTGTTTCTTTTCCAGCTGCTTAGCAATTGAGGCCATGGGCCAGTGAAACAAAAAATGAAAAATGTGTGTCCTCCGAGGAGTGGGTTACAATTTGGGGGTGTCACTATTGAGGGAAAAGGTCATGAACAAAGCAGGTGTTGTCACTAAAAAGTATTGGTAATGCTTGTGTGATGCATCAGGCTCATGATTTTCATTTCATGGTTGTGGTTCCCAAACTGTAAATCATGGTAAAATGCAAATTAAGTTGTTTAAGAATTACTTCTCAGAGCTCCAGATAAGCTTTTGGTGTTGTGGGTATTTTACCCATGCATTTTAAAATCATCGGGTATCAGTAATTCTATCTGGGTATTCAAATTTCTGTTACCCACTAGTTTTTACACATGTGGGTATTTAAGTTAAATATTTAAAAACACTATTCATCTAGTCCCTGCAAACTGGTGTCGTGTGGGTTCGAGAGCTTTATAGGACTCAAAAATACCACGATACTTCCACAAGAAAGTGTGATGGCAAATGATCGTGATGTAACTGTCATCGTGGAGTTTGGCAAGGTTGATGGAATGCCCGTTTATAATTTCAAAATAAGTTGCTGATTTGCTATTTGAATACGCAGGGTTACTTCACAATATTTTGATGATACCCACAAGTTTTATTTTTGTAGATTATCTGTAATGTTCGTTGGGTATGTGATACGCTTGGATTTTATTTTACTGCGTATTTCTGCATTTCCGATGCGTATTTTACGCAGATACGCAGCTTATCTGGAGCTCTGCTTCTTAAAGTTTCTGCTGGTTGGGTGAAATTACGGGAAAATGTATTGAAGGACTATTGTTTCTTAATGATGTTGTGTTCCTTCCTCTGAGCATGTATATTGCCTTTTTTATTTTGTTTTCATTTCTGTAGTTAGTTTACAAACTGCAAAGATAATAGAGTGTTTTTGAAGTTTTTATTTCATTCAACATTGCCGAAATTGGCAGGTCCATGTAATATAAAATTGGCATTCAAACTGCTTTGGCATGGCACCATGGGTGGGTCATGTTACAATGTAAGGCGTGAGAAAACAACCCTGGGTTGTATTAATTTAAGTTGCACATGTGAAATATCTATTGATGGTGAAATAATTCAGGTGGAGTGAACGCTGGATGTTTGTGTTTCCCCCCCCCCCCCCCCCTTCCTCCTCCCCTCCCTCTTCTCCTCCTCACTGTGACTCTCCCATTCTCATCCCCCCCCCAACACCTTATCCACTCCACCTATTCCCACACTGACTACATTGACAGATTGCTGTACTTGGTTTATCATGTTTATTCAAAAAAAAAAATGGTTTAAAAAAGAAGAAGTGTCACACAAAAGATGCTGGGTCACTTGATGTACAGAAAGTGTCAGACGAGCACTGATATAGACAGTGTTTGTTGTATAATGGAGCCAGCTATATCACGGTGGCCTGTAAATAATCCAGTCTCGACCAGACAGTCTAGTGATTGATATTATGAGCAACAGTCCACGTCAGAGTATGATGTTTAATATGCTATCAAACAACTAACAAAGCCTGACCATTTTGTCATCTCACACATTTAGCATGGGTTGCTGGGGACCGATTCCCATCCAAAAAACCCATGGGGTTATTATTGTAAGTGAGACCACCCTGACCACTGTTTTTGAGAGTTAAAGTGGTTTGTTTGGACATTAACCCATGATTAAAGTTACAGCTAAGACAGTATATCGAGGTCATTTTTTGCATGACAGATTAACTATAGTAATATGGTGAGGTCAAATGGGGTTTAAGGTCGCGTCCAAGATTATTGCACTTATATAGCGACGTGCATGCACGTGTGTGTGTGGCTGCTTGTACTAGTCCGGACTGATGCAGATTTATAGTGCTAGCTCACTGAGATACCATGCCGCAGTTTAACATGAATACCCCACTCAGACACAGTATACTGACTCCGAGCCGACCAGTCCTTGTTTTAGCCCCTTAATGCCGAGCACCAGACAGGGTAACAACAAGTACCATCTTTTAACGTCTTTTCGTATGACACGGCCAGGGATCGAACCCCGGCCGGAGGTGGTCTATAGTAATATAAAAGAATCTGGTGGTCCTCAACTAATTTTGAAAATGTAGACCAGAAACTAGTTTTACAGCGCCATGGAATCACTTACTTCCGCTGTGGTTTGTCAACATGGTCAACAAACCTTTGACCTTGACCTTTCTCTACGTTGCTCTGTAGTGGGTTACGGAAGCTGTGTTTGTTTTTATTAATTCCTCTTCAGTTTACATCGGTGGTAATAAATGGACTTTACAGAAGCTTTAATCATGTTAATTGAATATCACGTTTATGTCCCTTATGAATACAATTATTAGTTTGTCCTAGGTAAACCTCCTGAGGCAACTCTGTAAACTCGGGCAAACTTAAAATCATGAAACTCTGGACATAAAGTTGATATAAAAATTAAAGCTTGTGTAATATCCAATTAAAAATAGGATCTAATATTAATGAGATTGCAAACAAACAAACAAACGACATCTTCAACTAGGCTGCAAATTGGTATCAAGCAGAGTTTGCCAGACTTCCTTACTAAAAAAATTATGATAATTTGAATATTTAAGAAACATGTACAGGGGTTTTGGCAATACTGCCAGCCCCCGTAGTAGCCAAATGCGACTTAAATCTATAATTGGCAATCTAAATTTATCTACTGCTCGCCTCTTGACTACCTAAAAGTAAATTTAACTGGCAACAATATCTGTTTAGATATCTGTTGGCTTCTTAAAACTTTAAATTGGCTCCAAAAATATTCATGTTAGGAGCCGCTTGGCTCCCTAACAGAAGATGAACTTAGAGAGCTGTATATACTGCTGGTAGCCTGGTACACTTGTTATAGTTGCTATCAATCCAGTCAGGTAGAGGGCACTTGGTGTTGTTCACTTGCACTGATCCACAGCTCAGATGAAAATCTGCCACTGCTATTAATTTTACATCCTGCTGGTGTAATTAACATGGAGTGTATGTTACAGTACTCCTAGAGAGGGGCCGTCTCATGATCAACACGGCCTAGTTGAAATTTTCTGAGGATGTTTTGTTCTTTTGATTTTTTTTCCGTATCCAATGAGGTCAGTTCAGAGGTGCTATTTGCAGTTTTTTCTATTCAAGTTTATTGAAGTACAGATCGAGGGTAAAGAGCGTATGAATTGTGTGGAGTCAGCATAAAGGTTCCTGATACATGGCTGTTTGTTAATATGTTACCATGGTTACAGTATAGTGCGCACCCAAGTATAATGCGCACCCCCCTCTAGCAGATTTAGTATTATTTTTTAAAAATATTTTTCGAATATTGTGAGTAGAAAAAAATTACACCGTACCTCTTCAAAAACTAATTCTGGTATGGTGATAAGAAACTTGGTCAGTACAAATTTGAAATTTGAGATAAAAAATCACCAGACATGATTTACCGTTTTACATGTTGATTTTTTGTCCTGCTAGGCATTGTTTTACATGCAGGGATTAAGATTACCTTGTGTATTTTCTCATAAACTAAGCCGGAAACAGCAATCAGCTGTACACACATTTTCTTGTAATCTACCGGTGATTCGGTTAAAACTTACTCAATGATATAATTTTAAAGGATTTGATGCAAGGATTGGGAAAAATTGTATCTGAAACTATTTTTTTATCAGGAATAATATATTCCAATATCATGTTATTTTAGTTGCAGCTTTTACTAAATATGTTTAAAATAATAATAACCCTCCGCATAGCACTTAGGTGCAGCTGATCGCTATTGACGGTTATTTGCCGGTAAAACTTAGGGTTGGAGAATACTAATGCAGTGTTCAATTTGACATTTGAGCATGTTCAGATTTCAACAAATTGATCATTCCGAGCTAATTCTGTGCTTAACAAATATACACTTCCTGTGATTTTGCAAGAGACAAATGGCAATTGGACATTCTCATGATTTATCCAGTTTTTGGATGGAAAACTTGGATGACAATCAATGTCCTAAAAATTAACCCTGCTCAAGGACTCGCAAATACATAGAGCAAGGTATAACGTGACACAAAAGATCATATCCACATTATTGATATGTTCATTACTGTACAGTCTTCTTGTTTGGGGCAGTGGGGTAGCTGTTAGCATAGTGGTTAAGGCATTCACTCGTCACGCCGAAAACCTGGGTTCAATTCCCTACCGTAAGGTTTACTACCATGCCAATTTTGGGTGTCTCCTGCCTTGATATCGATGGAATATTGCTAAAAGCAACATAAGACCATACTCATCCACAGACTCTGTTTTGTTTGTTTGTTTGCCTCTGGACTCTGAAATATTCATTTATATGACGATGGTCACATCTGGATAACAAAAAAAATGCCTCATGCAGAGTTGGCAGTACAGTCAAACACAGCTGTGTTGAACTTTGATGTGTTGAACTTGTGGTTGTCTCGAAGTAAAAGCTTGGTCCCTGTGTATACATTCTTTATTCATTATTTTCCGATGTGTCGAACCTCGAATAACAAGTATTTACATAGGTTCCTTCGACTTCAACACAACAGTGTTTGACTGTATATCATACAGTGTTAAACATGTGAAATGGTTCATTGAATGCTGGTATGTCTTGTGGCCGACCCTGAGTGGGGATTCCAGGTTAGAATAGAGCTACCACCAGCTACCTATTTTGTTGGTAAGAGGCACTTTAGTGGATTGGGTGGTCATGCTGGCTGAAACATCGTAACCCGGGGTCATTGATCATTGCTCATTGCTCACAATATTCATCACTGGATTGTCTGATCCAGGCTATTTACAGGTCACTGTTGTGTAGTTGGATAATTACTGAGTGGGTCATTAAGCATCAAACATGCACATCTGATATGGCTGTTTGTGTCTGCATACAGTGCAAAGTAGTATCCTCTGGTCACTGTAACATCCACTGATTGTTAGCTGTCATCCCAAGTGTGCCATGATCATGAAACTAGGTGTGTACTGGATCATTCCTGTGCTGCTTGGGTTCTCACTCACTCACTCACTCACTCACTCACTCACTCACTCACTCACTCCATACCGGCTCACTAATTCATTGGCACACTCGCCCAACTCACTCACTCACTCACTCACTCGATAACCCACACACCAATCAACTCACTCACCCCAAACCCACTCACTCATTAACCCACCAATCAACTCACTCACTCACTCACCTTGCCACCCACCCACCCACCCAATCGTACTCGCTCGCTCACTCACTCACTCACTCACTCACTCCTGTTGTATGTTTCAGGTCGTGTACAGACATCATCTGCTGCATCCTCTTCATCATCTTCATCATCGGCAGCGTCGCCGTCTCCATACTGGGTAAGACTCCGCTGTATCTCCTCATGTGGGGGTAACATTGAAAGAATAACCAACAAACTACGATGATCTGTTCCGGGTGAATGAATGGTGTTAATCCCTTGATGAGGTGGAATCGGGTGGTCAGGCTCACTGACTCCAATTGATGCATGTCATCGTATCCCAATTGGGTGGATCGATGCTCATGATGTCAGTCACTGGATTGTCTGGTCCAGACTCGATTATTTACAGACCACTGTCATATAGCTGGAATATTGCTGCGTGCGGCGTTAAACAACAAACCAAACCAAAATCCTAAACTTCATTACTGATGTAGGCCTGTGTACGACAAAACTTGGTACTAGCAGATCTCCCGATAGTATGTGTAATCTAGGAGGATTTACTCCCATTATCTTTCTGTTTGGGTATAGATACTTTTCTTTGGGTATTCAGAAATGTTTACACTGTTAGGTCCAGCCTATTGGGTAATTTTATATCGATGGGTGAGAGTGAACCTCTTTTAACACACTTCTGCTTAGAATTGTGTTTCAGGTGACTTCTAATTTGCATCTGTCCATCATACAGAGGTGCTGCAATCTGTCACATGTCACATAAGCTCACGACAGGGATATATGTCTAAGTTACCATGGTTACAATAAGCAAGACGTATAGCTTTTTTGCGTTATTCACTGCAGTAGAGTTTATGTAGATGGGATGCTTACATATGATCAGTTGATAAATATCTGTAAAAGGCGACATTGGATAAGTTCACAGCATTGTTAAACTTTTGTTTTTTTTATATTTTTCGTTGGAGGCATGGGTGGCCGGTCATCTAAGGCTCCTTATTTCGCTGTGCAGAGTTGCGTCCCTTGGGCACGCCAGAAACTTATGATTGTGGGTTCGAATCCTGGTTCGCCCCGATTATGTTTCTAGGTTTGTCAGCACCATACCCGTGCTCGTGGGTTTCACCGAAGTGGTATACATCTTCAGGCTTTCCTCCCAACTTAAGCTGACACGCCGTCATATAGTTGGAATACTGTTAAAAGTGGCGTTAAACCCAACTCACTAGCTTCATTTTTTTGTTCATATTTGTACACAAGCTGCTCAGAATTGACTAGGTTATGGTGATTCGATGTGCTTTAATATTATGTAATTTTTATCTCCAAATCAGTTGTTTTGCTAGAAGACAATCGCATATATTCAGATTCCTTCTGCGGGTTATACTCCCATGCTGTGATTAGATGCCCATGTTGATAGTCGTCAGTAGCTTAACACATGATCACATCAAGTCCGATAGACATTCCTCTCTCCCTAGATGTCAACACAAATGACCCTGTCTCTAGTCATGCCTTCTGACCAACTGTTTTGATGCAGTTGTCCGATATGGTGTAACGCAGTATGCTCAGATATCAGAAAATCAATTTTCCCCAACCATTGTATCATCTGGAGACGGTATTAACACGCCTTTATCATGTGAAATAGATTACCTCTCTGACGAAATAGACAAGTGTACATGGTCGTAAATATCATTCCCTTTGCAGCTTGGGCCAGTCCGGTGGAATCAGTTGATTCCTCTTGAGATGGTGGCAGGACATTAAAGCAAATTAGCTGTGGTCATTTCAATAATGGGCAGATTTCCAGTGAGAAGGGTTTGCTATAAGCATGATAAGGCCACAATGTATTAAATTTTATATCTTTCCTAAATGTTTCTAAATGTGAGGCTGGAGGCATTTTATGTTATTATATATATTTTTATAACTTAACTGTTCAATATATTCAAGGCTTCATTGAACAATGACCAGATGACTTGTCAGATGATGTGATTCACATAAAGCTTATGTTTGGAAGGTATTTGTAAATGTAGAGAGAATCTCACCTGGATGTCTGCATTATCAAATTTAACAGCATGCCAAGGCGTTTTGGACTTTAAACTAAATGTTGCACTTGATATGAAATGGTACTGAGACAGGTGAGATTTTATTTATTATCCAACATCAGTCTTCCAACTTTTTCAGTTTGGAAACAGTAATAAGAAGTGTCCTGGGTGTAGGAAGTACAGCTAACCAAGCTTAGCAGGGGTAGATTTAACAACAAATCTGTATGTACTTTGTTAGCCAGCAGGGCTTGCTCCTTTTTAAAGTTACTGGCTATTCTCCAAACTAACTGGCCTACAACTAAATGATAGAGGCCCCAATATGGCCAAACCTGAAGTCGTGTTGCGACCAAGTAGGGCTCTGAAAATTTTAGAATTCCTCACCCCTGAAACATTTTTTTCCTGCACTCTGAGATTAAGTGAGTGAGTGAGTGAGTTTTGTTTTACGCCGCTTTTAGCATTATTCCAGCAATATCACGGCGGGGGACACCAGAAATGGGCTTCACACATTGTACCCATGTCAGGATTTGAACCCGGGTCTTCGGCGTGACGAGCTAACGCTTTAACCACTAGGCTACCCGACCACCCCTGTGAGATTAAGTCTTGGCTTCCATTTGCCTCATTTAATGGCAGTTTATGAGCAAATACAGATGTTGTTGTACCCAACATTACAAAATGGTAGCTGGTTGTCATTCTACCGAGATGATCCAATTAATTAGATTAAACATACACAGAGAATCGGTGAAGTTTTGACGAGCCAGACGGGCCATCTACTATATGTTTCATCAAACCCTTTGTAATTTTAAGTGGACATGGGCCAACAGGCCAGCAGTTAAGTCGACCCCTGCTAGGCATGTTCAGTTAAGTAGAGAGATTAGTGATTAGTTATGACATTGATGCTGACATCACGGTAACCGATGACATCACAACGGTCATCAATGTTCAATGTAGCGATATCTCCACTGTCAGGACAGAGAGATCATTTGATCCCACACAGTGATATCTTCAGTCAGGTAGCCTAGTGGTTAAAGCATTTCCCCCTCACGCCGAAGACCTGGGTTCAATTCCCAACATGGGTACAAAGTGTAAAGACCTTTTCTGGTGTTCCCCGCTGTGATGTTGCTGGAATACTGCTAAAAGCAGCGTAAAACCATACTCACTCACTCACTCCCTCCTGTGGAAGCCATTTTAAAGTGTATTACATTGCATAAGGAAGAAGGGAAAACAAATTTCTTTGCCTGTAGGCATGGAAGGCACTTGGCATACTTTACAATAATGTGATGTAGCTGTTTGCTTAGAGTGCTGCTTGCAGGGCTGAAAATCTAAACACTTCTTTACTACGGCCTACTGGACATATTTTCTGTCAACATGCGAGTTTTCTGTTTTTGTATCTCATGTATGTTGATGCTTGGTAAAGCAGCTGTCAAATTTGTCTGGTTCGTGAATTTGTATGCAGACAGAGCCAACGCTGTGCCAAAGCCGAAGTGTCCATGTCGTTGAATCACTTTGGTGTTAATAGATGGATATCATTTTATGCTTACATACCTGCTGTCTAACATACTAGATATTTCTATGTTAGAAATATACTGAACACCTTCATTATAAACAGGTAGAAATCATTTACAGCATTTATAGCAGTTGCCAAGGCCTGATTAACTGAGAGTATCACCCTTTCTGTGGACAAACATTCCTTTTATTGTTGATAAATACATGATCGATAGAGCCAAGAGAATCTTGTCATTTTCACATTTAAACCTGAAGAAATTTAGATTTGTCAAAGTAATATTTTAGGGTTTGGAATAATTTTATTTTTCATGAGCATCGAATACTGCAATTGGGATACGATGACATGCACCCCATCCAAACCCATTAGTTGCCTCTTATGACAAGCATGGTCACTTCTAAGGTCAAGCATGGGTTGCTGAAGACCTATGCCAACCCGCATTTCCACGAGTATATAGCTAGTATATTCAGTGAGTGGTCTGTACAAGCTTTAGTGGAATCTTGTCTATGTTTGCTGAACAATGCTGAAGTGGAATCTGATTTCTTTTAAATTTAGTGGAATCTGGCCTCTGTTTATTTTTGTGAATCTGGTCTCTGTTAGCTCTTGTGAAATCTGGCTTCTGCTTTAGTGGAAACTGGTCTCTGTTAGCTTCAGCAGAATGTGGTCTGTTAGTGTTAGCTTTTGTGGAAACTGGTCTCTGCTGTAGAGAACACTGGTCTCTGCTTTAGTGGAAACTGGTCTCTGTTAGCTTTAGCAGAATGTGGTGTGTTAGTGTTAGCTTTTATGAAAACTGGTCTCTGCTGTAGAGAACACTGGTCTCTGCTTAGTGGAAACTGGTCTCTGTTGTTAGCTTTAGCAGAATACAGTGGTCTGTTAGTGTTAGCTTTTGTGAAAACTGGTCTCTGCTGTAGAGAACACTGGTCTCTGCTTTAGTGGACTCAGTGTTTGCTGTTCAAGGTTGACATATACTCACCGTACCAGTTCACCCAGCAGAGGGTGGGTACCCGGTGGGATGAGATTGGTATGTGATCTGTTTACTCTCCAGGGTGTGGGAATGGAGTTTGAATGCACTGACCAATTCATCGATCCTGTAAAAGCACTTTTTAAGAATCAAAGGCTGCAAATTGGCCCTAGCCTGAGTCAGTTTGTCAGTATGTTTTACATACTTCAGTGCATACAAGTAAATATTTCAGCTCAGTTTGCATCCCTGGAATGCCCTCTGTGCCATCTGGCATACTGCATTTTGAAAGTATTATGAAAACTCAATTTGTCAAGAAGTGTTTAGGAAGTACCAGATGGCTGACAGAGTTACGTCCCCTGTTCTTCAGTCCTATAACCATGATAACCACAATGTTGTGGGAGATGACGTGAACCGTCATCTCTTTGACATGGCTGCTACGCAGGCAGTTTTAGCTGCTGGACACCTGAAGTATTATTACAGTATCTATCAGGATAGTGAGGTCATGGTATGATAAATGATCAGGATAGTGAGGTCATGGTATAAATATGAAAATAGTGAAGTCAAGATACAGTATGTAACAGGATAGTGAGGTCACGGTGTATAAATGAAGATAGTGAGGTCACAATACAGTATGTATTAGGATAGTGAGGTCATGGTATGATAAATGATCAGGATAGTGAGCTAATTTTACTGGCCCTTTAGGAAATATATTACACTCAGACCAGCGGACCACTGTGCCAAACACAGCTGTGGGGAAATATAAAATAACTTGGATGCACCCTAATTATGTCAATGTACAGAAAAACTATGAAATATGAGTATTTTACACTGTCCATTGTATACACTTGACACTTGGTGTAGATTGTTTGGGGGTAAGTTGCATGTTTGTTATTTGACGCCGCACTCAGCAATATGCCAGCTATATGACGGCGGTCTGTAAATAATCAAATCTGGACAAGACAATCCAGTGATTGATATCATGAGCATCGATCTACAAATGGGATTCAATGAAATGCATCAACCAAGTCAGCGAGCCTGACCACCCGATCCCGTTAGTCGCCTCTTACGACAAGCATAGTTGCCTTTTGCGGCAAGCATGAGTGGCTGAAGACCTATTCTACCCCGGATCTTCACGGGTCGTAAGTTACATGTATATTGCCTGGGCAGCATGGTTTTATCATGAGACTCATTGAGAGCATCCATTGATAATAAGAAAAAGTGATACAGTTATGTAAGGGAAATAGATACCACCAGGCAAATGTCTTTTTATGATAAATTACCAATAATATATTAATAAATTACAATGTTATTAGGAATACAAATTGAATTATGCAAACCTGCATATGCAGGATTATTCATAGTTAAGTTTATTTCTAATTTATATGTACATAATGTATGATGCAGAAACACATGGGTAATCAGGGCAATACAGGCAATCTCTTTTACATATGTCATTATAATTAAATGTTCCTTGTGTTCATTGAAATTCCTGTATTCTGATTAGCTGAATTGGTCACGTATTATTGCATTCATTTCCCAATGAATCTCACTCACTCACTCACTCACTCACTCACTCACTCACTCACTCACTCACTCACTCACTCACTCAAACCAGGCTGACTCATCGAGATATCTCTAAAAATTCTCTTCAGAGTGGTGTAGAACCTCACATACTCAGGCAGCAATGTGGAAGCTAGCCTGGAACACTGTCAGCAATGACACAACCATGTTCCTTGTGTTCATTGAAATTCCTGTATTCTGATTAGCTGAATTGGTCACGTGTTATTGCATTCATTTCCAAATGAATGTCACTCACTCACTCACTCACTCACTCACTCACTCACTCACTCACTCAAACCAGACTGAATCATCGAGATGTCTCTAAAAATTCTCTTCAGAGTGGTGTAGAACCTCACATACTCAGGCAGCAATGTGGAAGCTAGCCTGGAACACTGTCAGCAATGACACAACCATGTTCCTTGTGTTCATTGAAATTCCTGTATTCTGATTAGCTGAATTGGTCACGTGTTATTGCATTCATTTCCCAATGAAAGTCACTCACTCACTCACTCACTCACGCACGCACGCACGCACGCACTCACTCACTCACTCACTCACTCACTCACTCACTCACTCACTCACTCACTCACTCACTCACTCACTCACTCACTCACTCACTCACTCACTCACTCACTCAAACCAGGCTGACTCATCGAGATGTCTCTAAAAATTCTCTTCAGAGTGGTGTAGAACCTCACATACTCAGGCAGCAATGTGGAAGCTAGCCTGGAACACTGTCAGCAAAGACACAACCAAATTAACCTCAGTTACCACTTTGTGAGAATAAATGACATTTCCATCTCAAATTCCCACCAGAATTGTTTTCCATATCCGTGTCTCACTGCTTGTGCCTCTCGCCGGCCAACTAACTCCTCGTGCTAATCACATGTCTCTCTTGTTTTCTCCAGGCTATTCTCGCGGAGACCCTTATCGACTTATCCACCCTACGGACTCAAGTGGAAAAATATGCGGCATTGGAGAACTCAAGTAATTACAAAATAGAGTCAAGATTATTGATCTCTTCAATGAACATAGCTGTATAGTCATCTACTGTTGACTTATAGCATTCTCGTGGCCATTTCACCACTGGTTTAGGTGTAAGCTTTGTGTTAAAAAGGATAAGGGAATTATACAATGGTTAGTCAAGTAATTGTTTGTTCTGTGAAATAGGTTTAGTCAAGATGTTGTTCTGCTGCTGGGAAGAAAGGGAAGCTCTTTATTCCTTTAGAAGAATTTCTAATTTATTATTTTTCATCTATAGATTAAAAAATTATTCACGATTTCCCGCGATGTTATTGAAAATAAAATTCTCGGAAACACACTTCAAACATGTCAAAGAGCAATATAAAGTTGTTTCAAGCAAATCTTTAAATATAGTATACAAAGTAATAAATAAAATCAACAAAAATATATCTAAAAGTTGTCAAACTAGGTCACATGCTCAAATTTGACCAATCACGAACCTTGTAGCAGATTTCCGCATGAAAGCGTCATTAGAAACAAATTTTATCCAATGAAATCGCTTTTATAACTACGAAAGACTCCAGGCGATGTTACAAGTGTGTAGATGAAAGAATAAACTTTCTAGAGATGTGTCATATGTCAGTCTTCGGCGTATTCATATGAAGCCTCGAAAACGGGGCTAGTTCTTCACGTTACTTCATGCGGACAGCCGCTGTTATCGGGATATGGGTTTTGACAGATACTATTTATAATTCTTTTTAAAATGCTTTTCCAATTACATAAACAATGAAAATAAAAAAGAAATAGGTAAGTGGATTTTGTGAAATCTTTTATTTGCCGAAAATCGTCAAATTTTCGCTTCCTTGGTTCTTAATCTTGACCTTATCAATGTGTTAGCTTACATTTTTTATTTACAACAAACTTAATTAAGTTGTAAATGCATTATTTAAATAATGTGATAAGGCAAGGGAGTTAACTGACTGTAAAAGTCCAGTTTCCAGCCTTGCCAAACTAGGCTGGAAACATGGACTAATGAGTCTATGCATAGTCCAATCAAATCGCGTAATGAAATCAACATCCGGTTCCTCAACTGCTGTGCAGATTTCGGTTAATTGCAGGATATGTAAAGCATGTGTACCGCCAACTCGGCGTCAACAGACATTTTGCAAATCAAGGTGGTCACATGATTTGAAGTACTTCGCGAAGTAAGACCTGTTTTATTGCAATATTGATGATCCTCAATCTGAAATTTCTATGGATCACTTAGCGATTATTAATACCTGTGAGTACTATCGTCCTAGTAAGTTTTGACGGGATGTTTCTTATATTTTGTTTTAAGGGACAAACCGTATTTGTTCTTCTTCGACTTGCTCCAGTGTGCCAGGATGGGCCCCAACATCATCAATGGCTGCCCAACACCACAGGTAGGTTTGTATACAGACATATTTATTAGGGAATCCAGTTATGTAGCTCTGAATTTCTATTTTTTGAAGGCTAAGTCCCTCTAATAACAGCTTACTTCTCAATAATATGTTTTATGAGGAATGTTAATCTGCCCATTAATTTTCAGTTTTTAGCATTATACAATTACAAGGGCCCCATAGAGAAAATAAGTTCTTGGTCAACCTTCATAGCCATGGAGATTTTCGGGCAGAATTGATCTCCAGTACCCCATCTATATCCTAAGAGCAAGTTAAAGTGAGGATTGAGAGATTACAAGACTTGTAGATTCTGGGTTAGAATAGGCTCCCAGCAACCTATGCTGGTCATGGGGATTCCGGGTTAGAATAGGTCCCCAGCAACCTATGCTGGTCGTGGGGATTCCGGGTTAGAATAGGTCCCCAGCAACCTATGCTGGTCGTGGGGAATCCAGGTTAGAATAGGTCCCCAGCAACCTATGCTGGTCGTGGGGATTCCGGGTTAGAATAGGTCCCCAGCAACCTATGCTGGTCGTGGGGAATCCGGGTTAGAATAGGTCCCCAGCAACCTATGCTGGTCGTGGGGAATCCGGGTTAGAATAGGTCCCCAGCAACCTATGCTGGTCATGGGGAATCCGGGTTAGAATAGGCTCCCAGCAACCTATGCTGGTCATGGGGAATCCGGGTTAGAATAGGCTCCCAGCAACCTATGCTGGTAGTGGGGAATCCGGGTTAGAATAGGTCCCCAGCAACCTATGCTGGTGGTGGGGAATCCGGGATAGAAAAGGTTCCCAGCAACCTATGCTGGTGGTGGGGAATCCGGGTTAGAATAGGCTCCCAGCAACCTATGCTGGCCATGGGGAATCCGGGATAGAATAGGCTCCCAGCAACCTATGCTGGTCATGGAGAATCCTGGTTAGAATAGGCTCCCAGCAACCTATGCTGGTCATATGAAGCGACTTGATGGATGAGATGGTCAAGCTATATGACTTCATTGATTGTGTGTCATCATAGCAGACAGCCTGGATTGGCCAATAAGATCCAACACAGGTGTGCCTGAAACTATAAGACTACCAAATTTGTGCCTGAAAAATTCTCTCACTTCATCTGTATATAACAAGGTACACATGTGTTTACATTTATAATTCAAAATCTACCGTACATACAACAAAGGTCCAATAGTCCAACCATTTGGAAACCCAATTACTGCTATCCACCCCTCAACAGTGGATCCAGCATTTTTGAAAGGGAGGGATCCAAAATATCAAAATCCTCTCAGATATGTTTACTGCCTACAACATGCTACATTTGGTTTTCCAGCGTTAGAAATTGGCACTAGTCCTGAAGTCCTTGCCAAACTGCCCAATAGTAAGGGTATCATAAGGACTAGTAGAACTTTGCCATTTTTAGGGGTTTTGCTATATGTTATCATTATAAGGACTAGTGCACTGAAACTGTTAGTCTACCGCTGTTTTAAAAGTCGGGGGGGTGGGGTTCTGACCTTTTGGACCCCCCTCTGGATCCAACTTTGTCCTTCATTGTGACCACCTGATTCTCATTTCTCGGACTCATGCAACAAGCCAGGGTATTGTAACTATTCTACCTGGGAAGTATGTAGTGACTTATCTTTCCGTGCAATACTTACAGTGAGGATCTGCTTGCAGGTGTGTGTTGAGCAGTGCCCCAATTCCAGCTACGTGTTCCTCCAGACTGTGGCCAAGGAGAAGTTTCTAGGAGGCATTGACAAGACGGCGAGGGCCAAGATGATCTGCAAATACAATGTCAATGCTACTGACGGGGTGAGAGTGGAATCACTGACTTTAGGGGGCGATCGGGTAGCCTAGTGGTTAAAGCGTTTGCTTGTCACGCCGTAGACCCAGGTTCGATTCCCGACATGGGTACAATGTTTGAAGCCCATTTCTGGTGTCCCCCGCCATGATATTGCTGGAATATTGCTAAAAGTGGCGTAAAACCATACTCACTCACTGACTGACTTTAGTTTATGTGTCAGAGTTGTGTCCCTTAGGTGTGCCAGGATCTGCTAATAGTGGGTTTGAATCCTGGTTTACTCAGTGATCATTGGTTTGTGATCACAATGCTCATGCTCATTGGTTTCACTGAAGGGTAAACTGATACAGCTTGATGACTGGGCAATTTCCCAACATTAAAGGCAGTGGCGTAACCTTGTGGTTAAAGCGTTCGCTTCTTGTGCCGAAGACCCAGGTTCGATTCCCCACATGGGTATGATGTGTGAAGCCCTTTTCTGGTGTCCCCCGCCGTGATATTGATGGAATATTGCTAAAAGCAGCGTAAAACCTCTCACTCACTCACTCACTCACTCACTCACTCACTCACTCACTCACTCACTCACTCACTCACTCACTCACTCACTCACTCAATCACTCTTCCAACATTCAGCTGACACTTGTGAAATATAAATGTTTACTTTTGTTTATTATTGTTTAAAATGTACTAGCTCACACACTTGTGAAATATGAGTGTTTGCTTGTCAACAAACATGGAATAATGTTATACTTCTAGTTTACTGTATATATGTTAACATTATTAACATCCAATGAATTTTGAGAGGAAATATATAAATAACAACATGTTTCAAAGCAACTCACAGGTTTGTCAACAGAGTAAACATACAAAATACTAGTACACAATTAATGTAAGGAGTGCAGTTTTCATAGTGTAGGCAAAGTGCACTTAAAAAACACTTCACTGTAAGCGATCGGCACTGTAGGCGAAATGAACTGTAGGTGAATTGAGAAGGAACCTCTCCCAACACCCAGTCAGATTTATCCCATCCCTGGACCCTCAGAATATGCCTATCCAATGTTGTTTTCAGGGTGACGTGACGGAGCTGGTGAAAAAAGAGGATTGTGCCGCCTACTACGTACCTTCATCGCCAGGTACAGCAAGCACTGATTGATTTTTGGAATGGTTTACTGACACTGCCGGCTTTATACATGATTAAAAAAAATAAAAGAAGAGAGAAAAAAGAAAGAAAAAAAGGCTATTCTTCTTGTTAAAAAACAAATGCAAAAAAGTCGTGAACTTGCAAAACTTTTGTGAACAACAGTTGTACTGCAAGACAATAGGTCTCTGCACCCCAAAGATCAGATACCGTATTCGACGTAATAAGCTCCCCACTCTTATAAGCACCCATGGCATTATTTGCTAATATATTGGCTAGTGAAAAATCCCAATAGCACCCCTTCCGATTGATCGATGTACACAAGACTTATTCGTGTCTAATACGTGCTCGTGTGTAATATGCACCCCTAATCATGTTAATTATGGGCAATTAAATTCTGGAAAAATATATCTGTCGTATATAAACATTTATCTTTCAACTCTATTTTTTTCACCAAAATAATATTCTAATAAGAGCCTCCTATTTCTAATTTTGAGAGCGCCCTGGGTGCTTCTTACGTCGAATACGGTAAGTCTCATGGAAGCCTTGATGGTTGTGAAGACTCAACCTGAAATGTAAACTATACTGCTCAACTTTTGATAGGGATCATCAGCTATGTCATTCTATTTAAATACACACTTGACATTTTAAGAGAATCAGTTTCATGGAATCAGTTTCATGGAATCAGTTACATGGAATCAGTTTCATGGAATCAGTTACATGGAATCAGTTTCATGGAATCAGTTACATGGAATCAGTTTCATGGAATCAGTTTTGTGTATCATGGAAATATAAGAACATCCCTATCAAAAGTTGAGTAGTATACTTGTTTAACCCCTTTCAACTAGAGACTAAATGATAGGCATTAATTTCATATCACTATACAAAACTGATTCTGATAAGTAAAAACAAATTCAGTTGAAACAGTGTGGTCTTCATGGTCTGTTTTATATTTTGATTTTTGATTTTCTTTCAGTTGTTGGACGTTGTGTGCCGAGTATTTTCAAAGACATTCTGGACGACATGGGTTCTAAATTGAACACAAGTGATGGAATGGTCCTTGTCAATGCATTGAATGAGAGTATCACTGGAAATATGCTGAATAATGGAACAAGGTAAAATGATGGTGAACATTAAGCATCAGAAAAATTGTCCAAGTGCAACCTTCCCACCTAGTGTGTTCTGTAACAACTTCTGTTTTGCAGGTTTATACAATAGTTCTATTACTTCAATGTTTTCATTACCACCGTCATATAGCTGGAATATTGCTGAGTGCGGCGTTAAACAACCAACAATCAATCAATGTTTTCATTTCTGAATTTTGTTTTTGAGGATGTCACCATTTTCACATTTAAGTTTAAGGGTGAAAGTGGGATGTATGTTCATCCTGTATGAAGTTATATCCCAGCTGTATGATGGCAGCTCGTCAAAAACAATCCAGGTCATTGTGGTCTGATGCATATGCCAAGCTATCTACCACTTCACCAACCTACAACCAGAATAGGTTGCTGGGGACCTATTCTAGCCCAGAATCCCCACGACCAGCATAGGTTGCTGGGGACCTATTCCAACCCAGAATCCCCATGACCAGCATAGGTTGCTGGGGACCTATTCCAACCCAGAATCCCCACGACCAGCATAGGTTGCTAGGGACCTATTCCAACCCAGAATCCCCACGACCAGCATAGGTTGCTGGGGACCTATTCCAACCCAGAATCCCCATGACCAGCATAGGTTGCTAGGGACCTATTCCAACCCAGAATCCCCATGACCAGCATAGGTTGCTGGGGACCTATTCCAACCCAGAATCCCCATGACCAGCATAGGTTGCTGGGGACCTATTCCAACCCAGAATCCCCACGACCAGCATAGGTTGCTGAGGACCTATTTCAACCCAGAATCCCCACGACCAGCATAGGTTGCTGGGGACCTATTCCAACCCAGAATCCCCACGACCAGCATAGGTAGCTAGGGATCTATTCTAACCCAGAATCCCCAAGACCAGCATAAGTTGCTGGGGACCTATTCTAATCTAGAATCCCCACTGGGTCCAACCTTTGAACTGCTCCCTATTAGCAGATTGACAAATAGGATGAATGAATGAGGCCAATGGATGAGGCCAATGAATTATGCCAATGAATGATGCTAATAGAGATGCCAATGAATGATGCCAATGGATGACTGATGATGCTAGGGGTGTTGTATGGATGATGATGGTAACTGATGGATGATAGTGATGATGTTTATGTTCATCATGTGCTATTATGGCCTCCTGTGTTTGTTTTCAGGTTTCTGGCGGAATTCTACAAGTTCAAGGAATATGGAGAGCTCATATTTAGGGATGTGTCATCTTCATGGTATTTCATTTTGATGTAAGTACCGATCTGATCAAAACTGTTCTGAAACACATGTTTACTTCTGAACTCTTGATAGGGGTCATCAGATGTGTCATTCTATTTAAGGGGCGGTGTTGTAGCCTAGTGGGTAAAGCGTTAGCTCGTCATGCCGAAGACCCGGGTTCGATTCCCGATATGGGTACAATGTGTGAAGCCCATTTCTGGTGTCTCCCGCCGTAATATTGCTGGAATAGTGTTATAAATGTGGCGTAAAACAATACTCATTTACTCATTCTATTTAAACATACACTGGGCATATAAGAATTAATTTGTGTATCATGGAAAGGTAAAACTATCCCTATCAACTGTAGAGTAGTATATATAAGACAACTATTACCACTGTGAGGTTTGTAAACAGACATTACCAATGTGCTTCTGTGGGTAGGACATACCTGTTACAGAGGCCTGTTTATTGCCATGTTCATATCCCTGTTCTTGTTTCAGAGGCCTGTTAATTGCCATGCTGATATCCCTGTTACAGAGGCCTGTTTATTGCCATGCTGATATCCCTGTTACAGAGGTCTGTTTATTGCCATGCTGATATCCCTGTTCCTGTTACAGAGGCCTGTTTATTGCCATGCTGATATCCCTTTTGTGGATCATCCTGATGAGGTGGCTGGTTGGAGTCATGGTCTGGTTGACCCTGGTCCTCTTTGTCGGACTCTTCAGCTTCGGTGAGACAACACATTCTGCCACCTTTATCTACGAGTTATTTACCAGTACCATATTTCCTTGAGTAAAGTGCACACTTTTTTAAAAAGAAACCACATGCCATAATGAGTTTTGATGGTTTTTCTCCCAACGCAAAGACATTACCGTGAGCACGGAACACCGGAAGTACCATGTCAACAAATCCATACTGAAGTACGCAATGTAATTTTGTAACTACACTGTCTGGTTTTAAAGTGTCCATTGTATATCTGGACTTAAGTTTGTAAAAAACAAACTTACTTTTATTCAAAATTTCGTTCACTATTTGAATTAATTTCTGCAAAACCGTCAGTGATCAGTGGATCGCACAACTAACCCTTATAAACAGCAACCACGGTCAGATTACCCCTATTGATGCCCTGAAACAAACTTTAGTTGACAGAGAATGGATACATATATCATTATTGCCAAACTTTGACTCTTTAAAAGTCATATTTGTTGTCATGGTTGTAGTTTGCCTATTATATGTCAACATGAAGTTTTTTGTGTTGCGAGCGCAGGAACCTTGACAGTGACAGCAATAGAAAAACGCAATAGGGATCAACTGCACCAAAGTGCCACACTCATGGCTATTACTATTTTAAATATATACAGTGAAGACTGCAACTCTAATAACACGATATTGGAATATATATTATTTCCTGATAAGATAATAGTTTCGGATACAATTCTTCCGATCATTGCAACAAAATTCTATAAAGTTACGTTATTGGGTAAGTTTTAAAAATGTCACTGGTGGATTCTGAGAAAACGTGTGTACAGCTGAATGCTGTTTTCGGCTAAGCTTGTGGGAAAATACATGTGGTGATCTTAATTTCTGCATGGAAAATAATGCTTAGCAGAACAGGCAATACAATTTAAACAGTAAATCAACATGTCTGGTGATGTTTTATCTCAAATTTCAAATTTGTACTGACCATGTTTGGGGTACGATGTCATTTTTTCCAAAATACTGAATCCCCTAGAGGGTGGTGCGCATTATGTAAGTGAGTGAGTGAGTTGGGGTTAACGCCGCTTTTAACAGTATTCCAGTTATATCGCGGCGTGTCAGCTTAATGTGGGAGGAAAGCCCGAAGTGATGCAGGTCTTAGACGTTTACCACTTCGGTGAAACAAACGAGCACGGGTATGGTGCTGACAAACCTAGAAACATAATTGGGGCGAACTGGGATTCAAACCCACAATCATAGGTTTCTGGCGTGCCCAAGGGACGCAACTCTGCACAGTGAATCGCGGCGCCTTAGACCACTGGGCCACCCGTGTCCCCGGTGCGCATTATACTTTGGTGCCCACTATACTCAAGAAAATATGGTATGCATGTGGGGTCCGCAATATTACGGCGGGAGACAATAACAATGGGCTTCACACATTGTATCAATGGGGGGAAGCGAACCCGGGCCTTCGGGCCTGACAAGTCAACACTTTTACAGCTAGACTACACCACTAATCCCGTTCTGTTAAAAACATAAATAAGAGACATACTTTCTTACGATTGATGGCTCAAGACTTCACAACATAAACCTTTCACTTGAGCTGTACACCTGCTGAATGAGTGAGTGATTTGGGTTTAATGCCGCTTTGAACAGTATTCCTGTTCCTTCGGAGCGTGTCAGCTTAATGTGGGAGGAAAGCCTGAAGTGATGCAGGTCTTTGACATTTACCACTTCGATGCAAACCAATGATCATAGATTTCTGGCATGCCTAAGAGACGCAACTCTGCACAGCGAATTGCAGCTCCTTAGACAACTGTTTTTGACAATGTTGACTAGGGCTTCCAGGATACACCAACTGTTTGATCCGATACGTACCACGATACTTGCATGCATGTGCTCTTATCTGTGGTGCCTAAGCCATCTTTTTCATAGAAAGGATGGCCAAATACCTGGCCCACTAAAGATTTACCGTTGGCAGTGTCAAGTATGGTACAATGGATGAAAATATTTACGTTTTCTCTACTCATTTTTACGAGTATTTAGTGTTTGCTGTTACATTTGTTCAGAATACATTTGCAGTAAAAATCGATGCTTTTTACTCAGTGTGCTACTGTGATCGATACTTGTATCGAGAAGTAAAAAAAGGTGATCCACCGATGCATCAGTGTATCGTCCCACAACTTATGTTGACATAATGTATATGATTGCCATGTGTTGTAGGCACTTACTACTGCTACTCCCAGTACTACAAGTTGAAGGGCATGAACACGGAGAAAGAGTTCGGCTTGTCCCACGCCTTCACATTCAACTTCAGTTACTACCTCACCCTCTACCAGACCTGGCTGGCCTTCGGTGAGTTGTCCTCATAGCAGGGATCTGGGGTGAGTGAGTGAGTTGGGTTTAACGCCGCCTTTAACAGTATTCCAGTTATATCACGGCGTGTCAGCTTAATGTGGGAGGAAAGCCCGAAGTGATGCAGGTCTCAGACGTTTACCACTTTGGTGAAACCCACGAGCACGGGTATGGTGCTGACAAACCTAGAAACATAATCGGGGCGAACCGGGATTCGAACCCACAATCATAGGTTTCTGGCGTGCCCAAGGGACGTAACTCTGCACAGCGAATCGCGGTGCCTTAGATGACTGGGCCGCCCGTGCCCCCAGCAGGGATATGGGGTGGCCATGTTCATAATTGTTTGGGCGGGGGTAACTGTAGAACAGTTTATTACCCAAATGCTAGAAATAACCGAGTTCCTAAACATCGTATGTGCAATAGTGCAAATATCACTTCTCACGCACTGGCTTATTGTTTCCGTCATCCTGACAGCATTGTTGACGTCATTCAAATCTTATTGTGACGTAAGGTCAGAATGACGTAATTCTGAACAACATCAAACCTGAGATTGTTGATGTCATTCGACAAATTGTGGCTTTCTAGGCGGTGTGGTCATCACTGCATTTTTAAAAAGGGGAGCTCAAAAGGATTAAGAAATAATGGGTAATAAAGAAATTATTACACTCACATGTGTGTCACATTGATTTTACGAAACTCGTATCAGAAGTCATGTATTACCTTCGCTCTCGATTGGGAAATACAAGAATTCTCACTCTCATTTCGTAAATTCAGTATGACACACATGCTCATATAATAATCCCTATGTATCACATAGGCGTTATATGACTGTATAGTGGTATACCTTTAAACAGTATAATATTGCATATACTTTGTTTCACTTGGTATATTTATGTTTTATACATGTCCAGGGAACTGTGAATAGAGATGGGAAAAGGTGTCAGTCATTTCTCACAAGAACAGTCTGAAAACTTTTTAGCCCACTAGCCTGAACATGGCTTTTAGAATAATTAAAAGTACATTTCAATGTTCTCATATGGAGTGTTATTAGCTAAGTTTAGTAAACTGAACTACCAGACTCTGACTTCGTACTAGTGGCTAAAGACGGTGAGGATCGTCTTTACTTGTTCCGTCAGATTGACGATATGAATGTATTGTTTTGGCAGGCTGCACATCAGCAACTCTTCTGATCATCTTCGTGATCGTCCTGCTCTTCCTCATCCCCCGCATCTGCATCGCCATCCAACTCATCAAGGAGGGCAGCAGGTGCAGTATTCAAATTCTTCAGTAACCATAGCAACAGAAGTTTTACTTTTTGGCTCTATATTATTCCGTCTTGTAGGCGTGGGGAACTTGGAGAAGAGGATTTGTAAGATAGTCAGTTCTTGTATACTGTGAGACATTAGAAGTTATGTTGAAAGTACTGCCCTTTGTCACAAAAACAGATAGTACAACATTTTGTAGATGTGTGTTTCTATTGTAAAAGTTGCAGACAAGGATCAATTTGACATTTGCCTTGATTAAGCTGTTGATGAAGAGGTTGACGACTGATTTTGGTTTGCGGTAGCATTTTACTGCAACTGAGAAACATTGCAGTCAGAAAAGGTCGGAAGTCTATGAAATGTTTAGTATTTATGTTATTATTGCAGAGCTATTGGGACGATGTCCTACACGCTGTTATGGCCGATCATCCCGTTCGTCCTGCAAGTGCTGGTGGTCATCTACTGGGGATCAACCGCCATGTATCCTCCATGTTGGTCCTTAATGAGTAGGGGCGGTCAGGTAGCCTAGCGGATAAAGCATTCGCTCATCATGCGGGGTTCGACTCTCAACATGGGTACAATTTGTGACACCCATTTCTGGTGTTCCCTACCATGATATTGCTGGAATGTTGCTAAGAGCAGCGTAAAATCATACTCACTCACTCGCCTGGTTTTAATTATCTGGCTTAACTTGTAACAATTACTAGGGATCTAAGGTGCTGGAATTCGCTGTGATGAGTTGCGTCCCTTTGGTGTGTCAGAATCCAGGTTTGCCCTTATTATAAATCTAGGTTTGTCAGCACCTTACACATGCTCTTATGTTTCACCAAAATGGTAAACGTCTGAGACCTGCATCCCTTTGGGCTTTCCTCCCACATCAAGCTGACATGCCGTGATATAACTGGCATGCTGTTCAAAGCGGTGTTAAACCCAACTCACTCACTCACTCAGCAGGCTTCCTGTTCAAATTAAAGAGTATGAAGGAATTACTGTCTAAGTGGCATTAAACTCACTTACTGTAACAACAGCCACTCACTCACAGGGTATGGGCTGTCCTGATGGACTATCATATCATGCAGGTTGTTGATGTTGCCTAGTAACTGAAATAGGTGGAATTAAGACAGCCTTTTATTTGCCTTCCCCAAATCTATATATACTCTATCTGGAAATTTACCATGACAGTTGTGTATATTCTTCAACTTGACCGTTGGTTACTGTGTCATTCTGTTCCTATGTTCTCAGGTCTACACCATCTTCCTGAGGCAAGGGAGTTAACTGCTGTAAAAGTCCAGTTTCCACCCTTGCTGAACTAGACTGATATTTCTGGGCTAGATCGTAGCGCCAACAGTGGCCATTATGAGTTATTTCCCTTCTATGTCCCTCCTATTAACCAACCAGATTCCACCTACCATATCATTTGCATTTTCGTCAAATAAAATGCAGTCGCCCAGTGTAGACGATCTAATCGATAATCAAGATCTATTTTCTAATAAAACAGGTCTTACTTCGCAAAGTGGATCAAATCATGTGAGCACCTTGATTAAAAACATGAAAAGATTTGGAAAATATCTATGGATACAAAGTTATGGGTGCACATGTTTTGCAAATTCTGCATGGCAGTTTACGAACCAGATGTTGTTTTCGTTATGTGATTTTGATTAGACTATGCTTAGACTTCTAAGTCCAGTCAAAATATAACTCCATGATTGCAGCCTAGTTCAACAAGGGTGGAAACTGGACTTTTATAGTCAGTTAACTCCCTTGCCTCAGGAAGTAGAGTTATCACAGGCAACACTGACTAAAGTCAATATCTCATCCACTCACTCACTCAAATCACTCACTCAGTCAACCATCCACTCAACCACTATTTCCCCTTGTGTTGACCTTGACCTTCACAAGATACTTAGCTTCAATAGGTGACGCGGAGTACTATACCAACACAACCACCAACGAAACGGTCAACACAGCCGTCACATCCAATGAGGTTGTCCAGTCAGTCGTGGAGAGAATACCATGTTCCCCAGGGGTAAGACATTGTAGTTGGCCATTCTTCACTGCCCAATTTATTGATAGTGCCATATGACTTGCAGCCATGCTTGTCACAATATTCTTGGCTTGTTGTTGATTACATCATATTGAGAATTCCCTGACTTTATGGCATGTGGACCTTTTGACAGCGTACAGGTCTCCTTAGACAAGTGACTGTTCGAAATATTCCTCTGTTCTCCCAGTAGCTAATGGGTCCCCGGTAGGATGAGGTGGTAATGTGACTGAACCTTCTAGCCCCTCATAGGTATCTAAGCTGATAATGGCATTTGAGAGCACACTGATGTTCTCCCAGTAGCTAATGGGTACCCGGTAGGATGAGGTGGTAATGTGACTTAACCTTCTAGGCCCTCATAGGTATCTAAGCTGAGAATGGCATTTGAGAGCACACTGATGTTCTCTCAGCAGCTAATGGGTACCCGGTAGGATGAGGTGGTAATGTGACTTAACCTTCTAGGCCCTCATAGGTATCTAAGCTGAGAATGGCATTTGAGAGCACACTGATGTTCTCTCAGCAGCTAATGGGTACCCGGTAGGGTGAGGTGGTAATGTGACTTAACCTTCTAGGCCCTCATAGGTATCTAAGCTGAGAATGGCATTTGAGAGCACACTGATGTTCTCTCAGCAGCTAATGGGTACCCGGTAGGATGAGGTGGTAGTGTGACTTAACCTTCTAGGCCCTCATAGGTATCTAAGCTGAGAATGGCATTTGAGAGCACACTGATGTTCTCTCAGCAGCTAATGGGTACCCGGTAGGGTGAGGTGGTAATGTGACTTAACCTTCTAGGCCCTCATAGGTATCTAAGCTGAGAATGGCATTTGAGAGCACACTGATGTTCTCTCAGCAGCTAATGGGTACCCGGTAGGATGAGGTGGTAATGTGACTTAACCTTCTAGGCCCTCATAGGTATCTAAGCTGAGAATGGCATTTGAGAGCACACTGATGTTCTCTCAGCAGCTAATGGGTACCCGGTAGGATGAGGTGGTAGTGTGACTTAACCTTCTAGGCCCTCATAGGTATCCAAGCTGAGAATGGCATTTGAGAGCACACTGATGTTCTCCCAGTAGCTAATGGGTACCCGGTAGGATGAGGTGGCAATGTGACTTAACCTTCTAGCCCCTCATAGGCAGCTAAGGCTGTACACTACCCAGGGAGCTGAGAATGGCATTTGAGAGCACACCGATGTTCTCCCAGTAGCTAATGGGTACCCGGTAGGATGAGTTGGTAATATGACTTAACCTTCTAGCCCCTCATAGGTATCTTAGGCTGTATACTACCCAGGGAGCTGAGAATGGCATTTGAGAGCACACTGATCCAATGATAATAATGGGGCACATCCTCTTGTGTTGAATCAACAGATTATGAATTTACTCATTATTATAATACTGATGATATGTCGGATTGCAGGGTGGAGACACGGCAGCTAAGGTGTGCGAGTTCGTCAAGTACGGAGGCAGTAGGTAGGTACTATTTATCCCATTCCTCTGATGTGACTAGATGCATCAGTTCCCCCGGAGGTTCCAGGTTAGAGATGGTTCCCAGGGTCCTTTACTGGCCGTGACCGGACAGATCTAGGAGTCAGGCTCTGTGACGAGATTGTATGTCATCGTACCACGATAGGATGTTGCTCATAATATCAATCACTGGTTTGTCTGGTTGGGACATTATTTACCAACTCCTAGGATATAGCTAGAATTTTCCTGACTGGTGTTAAACAACAAACAAAACAAATCCATCTTGTTTATGTTATGGTGTTGAGCAGGACTGGAATATCACATACACCAAGAGTTCCCAGAATTTGCAAATGTACTCACTGCCAAAGGAAATTTGAATACCATACATAGTGGTTAATATGTGAAGAATTAATCATGTTCAAGCTCTATATTATGTCGCTCTTAATCATATTCAAGCTATATTATATCAGTTCGATGCACAAACCAACATACTGGTATGTTGTCTTATACCAATGTTCAAGAACGAATCACATGTGACGTCATAGGTCCATGACTCTAGATGCACCATTTGTCTTATGCAGGATTAGCGTGTAAAGTTTGGAAATCATGTGCAGCATATCGTGATAAGAATAAAGACACTCTGTGGTAAAATACTTGACTGATTGTTATTTTCATCAGACTTCTCTGTATGTTTCTGGGCCGCCTCCGTGGTCTAGTGGTAGAACGTCCGCCCGGAGAGCGGAAGGTCCGGGGTTCGATCCCCGACTGCGTCATACCCAAAGACGTTAAAAGAGGGTACTTGTTGTTACCCTGTCTGGCGCTCGGCATTAGGGGGCTAAAACAAGGACTGGTCGGCTCGGAGTCAGTATACTGTGTCTGAGTGGGGTATTCATGTTAAACTGCAGCATGGTATCTCAGTGAGCTAGCACTATAAATCGGCATCAGTCCGGACTAGTACAAGCAGCCACACAAACACATACACGTACATGCACGTCGCTATATAAGTGCAATAATCTTGGACGCGACGTTAAACCCCATTTCACCTCACCTCACCTCTGTATGTTTCTAGGCGACTATGCTTGTCGGGATCGGTAAGTCAGGCTCGCTGACTTTGTTGAAGCAAGTCATCGATCCCAATTGCGTGGATCGATGCTCATGATATCAATCACGGGATTGTCTGGTCCAGATTCTATTATTTACAGGCTGCCGTCATTTAGCTGGAATATTGCTGAGTGCGGCGTAAAACAACAAACCAACCAACTATATGTATCTATGGTGTAAGTGTACAGTCAAGCCCCGTTAATCCGACATTGTTGGTTGCATATGATTATGTCGGATTAACGAGTATGTCGGATAAACGAAATTAGGTAGTATCAATGTTCGTGATCGAAAATTGGACATCCTGTCAGTAATTTCATTGGTCGGTCAAAGTTCGCGAAAGGTTGTTCTGACGTGACCTGTAATGGGATGTCTTAAGCGGTAGCGAGAACTTGTATCCGATTTTGATGAGATTGAGGTAATCTAGGCATGTGATTGATCCTGTTTTGTGTATTTAAAGAATTAATTGTTTATTGTTAAGCAAGTTTATCTCTGCAGCCGGGGCTGTGTACTCGCAGGCAGATGACCACGGAGTATGCTGATCACCGTGTCGGATTAATGAGACTATGAGTGATTTCAGCATTTCGTTGCAAATTAGGTGTCTCGGAGTCGGAGTGCGAGACTGTCGGATTAACGGGTCTAAATAGCACTGATTAAATCGGTTCCCATAATTTGTGTCGGATAAAGCCGATTGTTGGATAAACGAGTGTCGGATTAACGAGACTTGACTGTATGTAGACCAAGGCAAGTCCCTGTTGGTAAGACTTCCCACCTGGCTGGCTTGTTCACATGATGCTCTTCTGCCTCAGATACACAGTGTACCTCCAGTTCTACATGCTCTTCATGTTCTTCTGGATGATGAACTTTGTCATCGCTCTGGGACAGATGACCCTGGCTGGAGCGTTTGCATCCTACTACTGGGCATTTGACAAATCCAAGGATATCCCTTCTGCCCCGCTGGCGTCCTCATTCTACCGGGCGATACGGTGAGTGTTACCAGAACCATGATGGCTTTAATTGGGACTTCAGGAGATGATTCTTTAGGATGTGTTAGGGGAATCACAAAGCCTTGTAGAGAGGAGGTCGGGGGTTCAATCACCAGCTGTGACATGCCAAAAGATGTTAAAAGATTGTACTTGTTGCTACCCTGTCTGGCGCTTGGCATAAACGGGATAAAACAAGGAATGGTCGAATCAGAATATTACTATACATGGGTCTCCATGGCAACTGCAGCAAGGTATCTCAGTGGACTATACATCTTCCCGAGGCAAGGGAGTTAACTGACTGTAAAAGTCCTGTTTCAACCCTTGCTGAGGTAAGCTGGAATTATGGAGTTATATTTTGGCTGGACTAAAGAGTCTATGCATAGTACAATCAAAATTGCATTACGATATCAACATCTGGTTCGTAAACTGCCATACAGATTTCAATCACTTGCAGGATTTGCAGAGGTGGAAACTGGACTTTTAGAGTCAGTTAATTCCCTTGCCCTAGGAAGATGAGCATTATAAAACTGTTCGGACTAATGCATGCCTGTCGCTATAAGTACATGTCCTATATAAGTGCAGTTATCTTGAACTTGGCATTAAACCACCTTTCACCTCACCTGGTATATATATACCACATGCTCATTCACAATTACTTGACACATCAAAACCCAAAATGTTGACATTATGTAAACACAATATCACTATCTTTCATTTGATTGAAGTTTACAGGTATCAAATCTGGAATAAAAAACGTATACATTTGAAACATTCCCATTCTGCTATGACACAATGGTTATAGCGGAAACGATTAGTAATGTGCCATCAGTCAAGCCTGATGTCCGTAAAATGAAACCTCAAATTCCAGCATCAGTAAAATCACGTAGGAAGATATAAGGCGACTAAGGGGATCGATGCTGATTTGTTTGATGCATGTCATCGTATCCCAATTGCGTGGCTTGATGCTCATGATATCAATCACTGGATTGTCTGGTCCCGACTTGATTATTTACAGATTGCCGTCATATAGCTTGAATATTGCTGAGTGCGACATTAAACAACAAACAAACAAGCAAACAAACACAAAACCCAACTCACACACTGATGCTTCCTGTTCTTGTTCCAAGGTATCATCTCGGCACACTTGCGTTTGGCTCCGTCCTCATCGCTATCGTTCAGCTGATCAGATCAGTCCTGGAGTACCTGAGTCGGAAACTGAAGGGCTCGGAGAACAAGGTGGCAAGATTCATTGTCAAGTAAGCTAAATCCCTAAAATCTCTGCTTGCCAATTTGTCCTTAAAATCATGCAAACCTTTTGAGAATGAGGTAATGCTGTTTGGGTTGTCCTTTTTATTCAAATAAAAATTCCAGCACATTAGATATATTTGTATGTATGTTGTAATTGTCCTCCATAAGCCAAGCACCTGTGAAGATTCGGATTAGAACAGGTCTTCAGCAACCCACGCTTGCCGTAAAAGGTGACTATGCTTGTCGTAAGAGGTGACAAACAGGATAGGGTGGTCAGGCTCACTGACTTGGTTGATGCATATCATCATATCCCAATTACGTAGATTGATGCTCATGATATCAATCACTGGATTGTCTGGTCCAGACTTGAGTATTGCAGACCGCCGTCATATAGCTGAAATATTGCAGAGTGTGGCGTTAAATTACGAACAAACCACCAAATATAAGTCAAGTCATGTTGAGTGTTGTTACAGGTGCTACTTGTTGTTACCCTGCATGTCGCTGTATACATGTGTATGTGCAATAACGTTGAACATGATGTTACACCATTTCATCTCCCCTCAGGGGGAGTGAGGTAGCCTAGTGGTTCAAGCGTCAGCTTGCCACGGAAGACCCGGGTTCAATTCCCTATGTGGGTACAATGTGTGAAGCAAAATTTCTGGTGTCCCCTGCCATGATATTGCTGGTATACCGTATTTGACGTAATAAGCGCCCAGGGCGCTCTCAAAATTAGAAATAGGGGGCTCTTATTGGAATATAATTTTGGTTTAAAAAAAGCAGAGTTGAAAGATTGTAAATTTCAAGGTTTATGTACCTGAAATGACACAAAAGAAAAGTCTGTGCGTATTATACACGACAGATATATTTTTCCAGAATTTAATTGCCGATAATTAAGGGTGCATATATCAAACGAGTGCGTATTATACATGAATAAATAAGTCTTGAGTACATTGATCAATTGGAAGGGGTGTTAATTGGGATTGTTCACTAGCCAATATATTAGCAAATATCACTGTGGACGCTTATTAGAGCGGAGACTTATTACGTCGAATACGGTATATTGCTAAAAGCAGTGTAAAACAATACTCACTCATCTCACCTCACCTCACAAGGACAAAAGGCTGATGGTTCATCTGAGCCAGAGTGAACACCTGACAAGCGGATGTGAGATGTCTGTAATAGTACTGACAGGGTAAAATAACATTCACTCACTCACTCACTCACTCACTGACCAGGAACTAAATTCTGATTGAGATCACTAAAGATTCCAATATTTGAAAAAGTTAGACCAGGTGGTAACAACACAGGTCCATTGTCTGCCCTTTTCTGTGCAGGTGTTTGAGCTGCTGCTTCTGGTGCCTGGAGAAGATCCTCAAGTTCATCAACAAGAATGCCTACATCATGGTACATGTCGTCACTTTAACCTTGACCTTGTGGGGATCCTGGAACCTGTTCCACAAAGTGATCTAGTGCTGTGTTGGTCGTATCTCCCATTCTTTATCATAGGCTTATGATCAACGTAGCACTAAGATCGCCAGGACTAGGTCCTCGGTAGCCTATATTGTCGGAAGGGACAAAGTGTGAAGCTCCGTACCAGGGCGTGACACCTTCGTTACCCTCCTGGTATCATTGCTGCCACATCTGCCATCCGTATGCAAGCAGCCATTTCAAGCAGCCATCTTGAAATTCACCCTCTAACCCAAACTGTAGTGACATTGATATCCTTCTGTATGTCTTTGGGAATGCCGTCACAGCGAATTTTAAAATGATTTTCGACTTACCATTTCCCAGATGAACTTAGATTAGTTTTGTTTGTTGAATCCGATTTGTTTTTGATTACATACTAATGTAAAGCACCCAACCTCCCCTTTACATTCCTGCAGACTAACTACATGGCAGTTCCAATGAAATAGAAATTCAAACTGACAAACAAAGAAAATTATTTTTGCTAAGGGAAGAGCATTCAGCATCACAACAGTCACTTTGTAATCATAACTCAGTTTGTTGCGAGACCCGTGAAGATCCGGGCTAGAATAGGTCTTCAGCAACCCATACTTGCCGTTACAGGTGACTATGCTTGTCGTAAGAGGCGACTAACGGGATGGGGTGGTCAGGCTTGCTGACTTGGTTGAAGCATGTCATAGATCCCAATTGAGTGGATCGATGCTCATCATATCAATCACTGGATTTGTATGGTCCAGAATCGATAATTTACAGACCGCTGTCATATAGCTGGAATATTGCTGAGTGCAGCATAAAACAACAAACCAGCCTACAGTTAGTTGCGAGTTCAACTCCTTACATGGTTGTGTCAGCTTGACACAGTAGGGAGCTGTGACTGGTGGCAGTGTAGAGAGCTCTGTGAGTGGCTATCACTGTGAGGAGCTTGACTAATGGGGGAAAAAGGGAGATAAATCTGCCAAAAAGGATTTCCCAGAAGTGAACAAACAAGCAAAATATTACAATTTTGTTCAATTCTTTCTTTTTTTGTCAGACTGCTATCTATGGAAGAAACTTCTGCTCAGCTGCTAAAGATGGATTTTTCTTGATAATGAGAAACATTGTGAGGTAGGTGGAAGTTGGGACACAGCATCCCAGCAACCAACAGCATTGGGTGGTCAGGCTCGCTGACTTGGTTGATGCATGTCATCGTATCCCAATTGCGGTGATTGTTTTTAGGTTTTTTTTATTGTTCAAGCTAGTACGCAACCAAATTTTGTTTACAATAATTTTGGTGAAATCATGTTGTTCTTAAGTTTTGTAGCATTTCACTGTTGGGTCTTGTGTTCAAGATGCAGAATATTTTTTATTTTTTATTTTTTTATAAAATGGAAATAAAAACGAAACATGCGGCAAACATTAATATGATTCGGGCGGTGCCTGAGAACCAAGACTATTATTATATTAGCCGTATTGTATATATTTATATATCTGCTGTACTCATGAGTGAGACGTAAAAAAACACGTCTGCCTGTCTGTCTATCTGTCTGTACCGGTGTGTAACTGCTGTCTACAACCAAACCATGGATGTTAACCTTCCAGCGCCTGACAGGCTGCTTGGGTGGAATACTTCCTGGGGAGTTGAGAACGAAAATAGAGTGGACGCTGTTCCAATAAAACTGATGTATTTGAGCATAAGTATAAGTGGTCTATACAAATTCATAATTTCATGGATTAATTTCATGAATTGTTATACTGCCATATGTTTACATTGTTGTTTTCTAGCACTCTATATGCACTGAACAATAGGTTCATGATCGTCACGCTGATATGTTGTGTTTGTAGGACCTTTGTGCTGGACAAGGTGGCTGATTTCATCATGTTCATAAGCAAACTGATGGTCACCGGAGCTATTGGTTAGTACGATGATGATTTTAAGGGATAACTGACTATTTTCACAATACCAAATTCAGAATGATATCATTTACATATTTTTTCCAAACAATTTTTTAAATAAATAGAATAGATTATAAAATGTTAAATTTTGAATAAAGATAATTTGTGTGATTACCTTACCTCTATTACAGCATAGCCATTATTTCGTTTTCTGCATAACTCACCTTAAAAATCTTTAGGTTTTTCAACAGATGTACTCTTTATTGTTAGTTGTTTAATGAGCAGTTGTGCGGAAGCAGTATCAAAACTGATATTGCTTGAAGATTCATAAAAGCAGTGTGAAACCATACTTACTCGGGCTGCTAAACAGGTCTGCAAAGCTTCAGTAATGTCTGTTTCTCAAGTCCTGCCATCCTGTTAGAAATGTCCTCCATTGTTATGTACAGGAATCGCTGCCTACTACTGGTTCAACAGCAAAATCAACATCCTTCCCAACTTCGTCCCCGACCTCAACTATTCCCTCGTGCCTGTCGTGGTGGGTATAACATTGTCATAATGTCTAGTTGTCATTGTGGGTAAAATTATATAATGTCTAGCTGTCATTGTGGGTGGTACATTGTCATAATGTCTAGTTGTCATTGTGGGTAAAAGTTTGGGCTGGGACGATACACCAACTGTGCGATGCGATACATAGCACGATACCTTGCTCAGGATCAATATGTATCTCGATACTTGCATATGGTACGTTAGCGATCTTTTTCATAAACAGGATTGCACACTAATGATTAACAATTCGCAGTGTCAGGTATGGCACAATGGATGAAAATATTTACGTTTTCATTTTCACTGGTAATTAATGTATGGTGTTACACTTATTCAAGAAAACATTTAAGGTAAGAATAAATACTTTTTTATTTAGTGTGCGACTGTGATCGTTACTTGTATCGAGAAGTAAAAAATCACGATCCACCGATGTATCGGTGTATCGTCCCACCACTAGTAAAATTCTATAATGTCTAGCTGTTGTGGGTCAGGTTGGGTTTAACTCTGTCATGATGTCTCTCATATCAATGTCTATGTGAAACTGTGTGGTTCAGACAAAGAATTCAGTGGGTTCAGACAAAAAATACAGTGGGTTCAGATAAAAAATTCAGTGGGTTCAGACAAATAATTCAATGAGTTCAGGCAAAGAATTCAGTTGGTTCAGACAAAGAATTCAGTGTGTTCAGGCAAAGATTTCAGTGGGTTCAGACAAAGAATTCAATGGGTTCAGACAATTAAGTTGGTTCAGACAAAGAATTCAATGGGTTCAGACAAAGAATTCAGTGGGTTCAGACAAAGAATTCAGTGGGTTCAGACAATTGTTTTGTGTTCCAGATTCTACTGATTGGAACCTTCCTGATTGCGACCTCGTTCTTCAACGTGTTCAGCATGGCTGTTGACACCCTGTTCCTGTGTTTTTGTAAGATGGATGTTCTACACATCTTGAGGGGGCTTGTTGAGGCCTTAATTATGTGAAAAATCTGGAATCAATTATTTCAATTATTTTTTATAATTAATGGTCCAATTAGTTCATGTACCACAAATTCCTTGAGAATGCTAAAAGGGAAATAGTAAAGCCATTTGGAAATGTTTTAATTGATTTCTTGCGGAAGTTAAGAACATGTCAATATTGCTTCAATTATGAAAACTTTCTTATACAATTCCCTATTTTGACCATATGTTACCATATTTTTTCGGGTGAACAATTGACTTGACTTTGCATGTGTTTGTGATGGGTGCCACCGTTGTGGCAGGATACGCTCACCTTTTTGCGAACACCTGGTATCATCTCTATGTGATAGTGATTCATAAACACGTGCTCATGATATAGTCTAAATTGTACAATTGACTCTGCTTTATGCAGAGATTTCTATTGAATATGGAAAGGGTTTTGTCGCTTTATTTATGTAAAAACTGGAGTTAGGACATCTTTGATAGATAGAAGGCTGAAATTAATCACAACTCGTTCCCTATACCATGCTATACCTTTAATACGAATCCTGTAGTTGTGCTTACCATTTTGTAAGTGAAATGGCTTTATCTTGATGCTTTTTTGCTTTTATCCCACATGTATTAATTATCTAAATCTTTAGTAAGGATTTGAAGCAAACAAACATATTAGGAATATCAGTAAAAGAAACATGGTTTTGCTTCACAGCATTGCATAAGGAAACATCGACATGAATATGCAATACTTTCACAGTCTTTCTGATCAATTATCCAAAAACGGTGATCCCTGGTTGTGTCAATCCAAAAGACGTTAAAAGATGGTACTTTTTGTTACCCTGCCTGGTGCTTGACATTGAGGGGATAAACAAGAACTGGTCGGCTCAGAGTCAGTATACTGTGTCTGAGTGGGGTGTTCTTGTTGAACTGTGGCATGATACCTCAGTGGGCTGGCGCTATGAAACTGGCATTCGTCCAGACTAGTACAAGCAGCTACACATGCACATCCACACACATGCAGGTCACAATATAAATGCCATATTCTTGGGCACACAATGCAGGGCCTAACCCATCTTCCTGAGGCAAGGGACTTAACTGACTGTAAAAGTCCAGTTTCCACAATTGCCAAATTTCCAGGCTCGGTCATAGCGCCACCAGTGGCTATTACGAGTTATGTCACTTCTATTTCCCTCCTATTGACCTATCAGATTCCACCTCTCATATCACTGGCATTTGCTTCATACAAAATGGCGCCACTCAGTCAAGATCAGAACGATAATCAAAATCCATATTGTGATAAAACGTGTCTTACCTCGTGAAGTGCATCAAGTCATGTGAGCACCTTGATTAAAAACATGAACAGATTTGGAAATTATCTATTGACACTAAGTTGGCAGTACACATGCTTTGCAAATCCTGCAATAAACCGAAATCTGCACAGCAGTTTTCAAACTGGATGTCGATTTCGTTTCGCAATTTGATTGGACCATGCAGAGACTCATGAGTCCAGCCAAAAAATGACTCCATAATTCCAGCCTAGTTCAGCAAGGGTTGAAACTGGACTTTCATAGTCAGTTAACTCCCTTGCCACGGGAAGATGGGCCTGACTATGATCTAACAGACAACACATGATGCCCAGACTGAATCTCATTAAAATCAGATCTTAGTTCTCGCTACCGCTAAATGAACATCTGAGGACATCCCATTAAGGGTCACGTCAGACCGACCTTGCGCGAACTTTGACCGACCAATGGAATGACCAATCAGAAGGCAGCTTTCTCGTGCTTTACGGCACAAGTTTCAAACTGGCGACTACACTTCGAAGCATATTTTGACAAATTCTCGATTACAAATTTGAAAACTGAACAAAAAAACATTCTGGAATGATTTATAGATGGTCTAGATTGAAAGGATTCAGTCGTTAAACCCGTAGCTATCGTTCGGAATACCCCATGTTAAAGTTTTCGAGATTGCATGATTAGAAATCACATTCCGACTGTCACTTTCATAATCTGGTAAGCGACGCACTGATTGGTCGGATGAAAGGTCGTTCTGACGTGACCCCTAATGGGATGTCTTCAGATCTTTGTTTAGCGGTAGCGAGAACTGAGGTCTGATTGTAATGAGATTGTGCCCAGACTGTACTGTATTTCTAAAATAACCTCCACATTTTGAACACAGTGTCATGTTCCCTGTTTCAGTGGAGGACCTGGAGAGGAATGATGGCTCACCGGACAAACCCTACTTCATGAGCACGGATCTGAAGAAAATCCTGAAGAAATCCAACAAGAAACCCAAGTAGAAACCCGACATTGTCGTACTGGAAGAGGACCTTGTCGTACTGGAAGAGGACGATCTTGCTGGAGAACTGCCTTGTAGGATCAGAAATGCAAAAATGCTTATTTCTGAATAAATAAGACCGTTTCATTTTGTTAAGAAAATAGTCGCCAAATAGCTCCCAATATGGTTATGATAGACTCTTGATGATGATGATGATGATGATGATGATGATGATAGAGACAATAGAGTACATCATACATTACTGATAACTGGTGAGAGATAAAAATGGACTCTGGTTCCTCTTGGCCTAATCTAAATAAGTTAGTTCTGACTGAATAATTATTTTTTTCTTTGATTGCTGTTCATGAAGGGTATTGGTTGTTATAGGGATTCAGCTGTTGGGTCAGAATCCCGTAATCACATCAATTACTGGCGCTATATGCTTGTGGGTCTCACCAAAGTGGTAAATGTCTAAGACCTGCATCACTTTGGACTTTTTCTCCCACATCATGCCGACATGTGATATGTCCAATCTACTCGATCCTCCCACCCACAGGTATCACGGACAGAACAGTCCAGACTGACCAGTGTCCAGGCACTGAGTGCCTGCAATAGTTAGACAGTGAGTCAGTAGACAGGTGACTTGCAGCAATATTTAGACAGTGAATGAGTAGACAGGTGACTTGCAGCAATATTTAGACAGTTAATCAGAAGACAGGTTTCTTCAAGTGTCCTGCTATGAGTACACAATAGTCCAGTGTGTGACTTTGATGGCAATCTGGATTGTGGTCAAAAGTGGTTATTTTGCTCTTCAGGGATATGTAATAATGTACATGTCTTTCAACGACACAAAAATATGAATATGTTATATTATCACGTCTGAATCTTTTTTCAATTACCGTAATTATGATTTGATGTTTGGTATATTAAAATATAGTCAGGTGAGCTTCAGAGCTTCCTGGCTCTAACTTCTACAGGGGACATTGTGCAGAGTTACTTCCCTTAGGCGTGCCAGGAACCTATGATTGTGGGTTCGAATCTCAAATTCACCCTGATTGTTTCTTGGTCAGCACATTACCCGTGTTCGTGGATTTCACCTAACTGGTAAACATCCAAGACCATTTCGGACTTTTTTTCCTACAAGCTGACACACTGTGGAAGACTGGAATACTGTTCAAAGCAGTGTTAATACAAATTCACTCACTCACTCACTCACTCACTCACTCACTCACTCACTCACCAACCAATGTGTGTTCAGCCATTGATGGATAAATGATCCGTGCAACTAGTCAGCATTAATAATGTCTGTAAGAAAATGTTGTAATGTCACCTTAATTGTAATAATTTGGCATGAAATTAACTAATGACCAACCATGTTTTGATGTTTAATTAGTTGAATGCATGTGTCCATATGATTCACAAATCTCATCCATCTGCCTACAGAGATTGTGATTAATAGCAATAGTTATGATATGCTCCTCTTATAAGTTAAAAACCGTCTCAATTAATGTAAATTCTCACACACATAAGTGTAGTTTTATATTGATTAAAAATTCCCAGTGGGAATTTGTTTAGTGTTTGTTCCCGACACTATTGCTGGTTTAGAGGCTAAACTTGATCAGTGGGTTCGACTTGATGACTTTCTTGATGTGCGTGTAGAGTCCCAGGTAGATGGCGTATCAGTGTATCGTACGGATGACAAAGTAGACACAATTTATGTATAACAACTTCTTTAATTACTGTAAAGGCGACGGTTCGTTACAAGATCTATACCGAAACATTGCCTTTACAGTAATTGAAGAACCCGGGAACCCATGATTGAGGGTTCGAATCCAGGTTCGCCCCGATTAAGATTTGTCAGCACCACACCCGTGCTCGTGGGTTTCACCAAAGTGGTAAACATCTGAGACTTGCATCACTTCGGGCTTTCCTCCCACATTAAGCTGACACGCCGTGATATAACTGGAATACTGTTAAAAGCTGTGTTAACCCAACCCATTCACTCACTATGACTATCACCAGTACTGTAGTCCTTTGGTTGAAAGAACGCAAAAGGAACCAAAATATGATAATACCTAATCAAGACCAAACCAATATATTTTCTTGTGAAATGAATTCGTCCTTCTTGCATTAGACAAAGGGGAAAGAGTAGCGTTAAGAACCAGGTACCTGGTATCCTATTTTTTAATTCCCAAGAGCGCCAAATGTGTTGAAAATAGATTCAGTATTTGATATAATTTGCATTCTTGAAGGTTGTGATGAAACTAAATATTATTGATGATATTTTCTTACTTGATTTCATGGCATAGTCAGATTTTTCAATTAAAAGGCAAAATAATGTCTTCCGGATTTGTCTGCAGGGTTGATTGAATGTCTATTTTAACCACATGGTAATTGTTAATGATTTCACAATTGGATTACCCTTTGATATCCTGATTTAATGATCTTCATTTCTGCATATTGATGAGATTTTACGATGTATATTGTTGTTTTGTTGAGATGTAATGAACGTTGTTTCGATTATAAAACCCATATCATTATTACTATCTTATAAACATACTCTTGGCATCCTCACCAAGCAGTTCATGAAGAAAATATGCATCTTTGGCCACAATGAATTAATTGTAAGATTTTCGTCTTATTTTTTTTAAATTGTGAAGCATTTGATTTTGATGGTGGTTTTTTTCGTAGAAAATAAAGAATTTTTACTAATATCACAAATTTTAATCCCTGCATGGATCTTTTTCCTCGTCTGTGTTTTCATGATCACAATAAAGTGAGGTCGGGATGAAAATATCATAAGTAATTCAAGGCCTTAAACTCTTTTACATTTTTTTGTTACAATTTGCCTGACTCAAGTAAATGCCATCACCACAGCAGATATATAATTATTACTTATTTTACACCAACTCTACAGTGCAACTTCAAAATAGTTATGTTCAATTGTTTTTAAAAGACATCACACTGACTGCACTGATTTGTTTGTTAAGACTCTGTTAACCACAAGTCCAATTGTTTGGGCCCAGTCGATCTTCAGTTTGAAGTTGTTAAGCTGGAACAGCGTTCAAGGCCTCATCTCACCAATGGCATGTCATTAGTGTTCTGGGTGTTGTACCAGTTAGAAAGGCGACTATACTTGTCGTAAAAGGCGACTATGCTTGTCGTAAAAGGCGACTATGCTTGTCGTAAAAGGTGACTAACGTGATCGGTTGGTCAGGCTCGCTGACTTGGTTGATACATGTCATCGGTCCCAATTGTGTGGATCGATGCTCATGATGTTAATCACTGGATTGTCTGGTCCAGACTTGATTATTTACAGACCGCCGTCATATTGCTGGAATTAAACCCAGCTCAGTCACTCAATTGAGTTGACCATGTGTTAGCATTGTACAACATGTCTGCATGTATGCTACCAATCAGATTGCTTATTTTCAACACATGATTTTAATCTTAATGTCAAAAGCAAATTTATAGCTTCAGAAGCCTGTCTTCCTCCCCAAGACAATCACAAATATTCATTCTCTCTCACCATGTTGGTTGAAAGTTGATGTTAGTGGCGTTTTCTTGGCAACTACCCAGACGTCTATGCTTGCAACAGGTGTGTGAACAGCATGTGTGATCTTATAGCGTCTCCCCACCGATGACATAAATTGCTTCATGTGTCATGGGCTTTATAATCACAGTCGACCGATGTGTGATCTTAGCTTGAACGATTGAACACTTGAAACGCTGAGAGCAAGGGAAATAGGCCATGTTTAATGTAGACATACTACATGTAGATCCAGAGAAGGGGTGCAGACTGGCTTGTTTGGTGATAAGTTTTCATCCTAAATATATGTGCACCCCTCCTTTTCCCAGAAGTTCAATCACGCCTACAAATACAAAAATGCTGACTTGGTTGTGAGATAAGTGACCAAGGTTTTTGACAATAATTCAGATGCCTTATCTTCAAAAGGCCTTGAATATAACAATCCTTGAATATAACAATCCTTGAATAGGCCTTGAATATAAAAGTCCTTGAATAGGCCTTGAATATAACAATCCTTGAATAGGCCTTGAATAAAACAATCCTTGAAAAGGCCTTGAATATAACAATCCTTGAATAGGCCTTGAATATAACAATCCTTGAATAGGCCTTTGATATATGACAATCCTTAAAATGCCTTGACTTTATCAATAGCTTGAAAAAGCCTTTTTATGGATTGAAGATTAAACCTATAGAGCCCTTGAATTAATTTCAAACATGTCAAGTAAAAAACTGTTTTGTTGACCATTTCTTTAGATGACTTATTTTATGATAGCAATATTTCAAGTATTTTGCAATGAAAAGTTCAAGTGCAATTACTAATGCCATGATTATGCAACAAGATTGTACTTGGTTTACACCGAATGTATAAATGTAGTGCGTTTTCTTGCCCAGGGCGTTGTTCCACAAAGTGATCCTGGCACTAAGAAGATGGTAATTCCCACTGTAAAGGACTTGTGACATTGTGTGGTGATCACTGTGTGGAATGGCCCTGATGTCTAGTGTAGTATGCAGCTTTGTATTGTACATGGCTAGTCATTGTCTAGTGGTTCCTTGTAGTTACGTGGTATTGGGTTGTTTTGTAACTTAGAAAGTAATGCTCAATGATGTTTAAACTGTTTTTTTCTGCAGTCATGCTATTTTTGTCATATACAAATAATGTAAGTGCTTGTATGGTTACAAGTCAGCTTTGATTGAAGAGATTTATGAAAGCAATTTGTGTATGAAATTATTTTTTTATAGAGATATATCTATCAAAATAGTAGTAATTGCTTTTAAAGAAACATAACTTGGTTTTTTTGGTAGTGTGTGAACATTGCAATATTGGAGTGATGAATGTTTTATAATCTACTTAGCTTTTTTTATTCATATGTCGCGATTTACCGTATATGCCGTAATAAGTGCTCCGGGGCTTAGAAAATTTTAGAATGGGGACACTGTTTTCGGAGATTGGGTGGTGGTGAACAAACTGACTCAAACGTCAATGAAACTAAAATTTGTTCATTAACAGCAGTAAGTAATTATATGTACACCTTCTGAGCTTTTGGGGGGGGTCAGGTAGCCTTGTGGTCAAAGCGTTTGCTCGTCACGCCAAAGGTTTGATTCCTGACATGGGTACAATGTGTGAAGCCCATTTCTGGTGTCCCCCGCCGTGATATTGCTGGAATATTTCTAAAAGTGGCGTAAAACCATACTCACTCACTCACTCTTAGCTTTCGTTTTCTTTAAACAACCAGTAACATACACAAGAACATAGGGACTGTCATGGTAATTTTCGGTCTGTAGGGGATGCTGATGCTGATGCTGATGAAGTTGGTCAGGGGTTGCTTGTCGAAGCAAGGGGGCAGGAGTGGTCAGTCGTCTAAGGCGCTGCCATTTGCTGGGCAGAGTTGCCTTCCGTGGGCATGCCAAAGACCTTTGATCATCAGTTCAAATCCTATTTCGCCCGATTATGTTTTTTAAGTTTGTCAGCATCATACCCGTGCTTGTGGGTTTCACCGAAGTGGTAAACATCTGAGTCCTGCATCGATTCGGGCTTTCCTCCCACATTAAGCTGACACGCCGTGATATAACTGGAATACTGTTAAAAGCGGCGTTAAACTCACTCACTCAGTGGTAAACGTCTGAAACATGTATCACCAGGGGGTTTCCTCTCACATTAAGCTGACACGCCGAGATAGAGCTGGAATATTGTTCAAAGCGGTGTTGAGACCACCTCACCCACTCACTCATCATTGTAGCAGGGCACTTAATACGGCAAATACAGTACATGGAGCATGATAGTCAGTATGACTTTTGAATTAGATCTGAAATATACATGAAGTAGAGATGAGTATCGGTGACAGTATTTCTCACAGGACTGAACTAAACACTAGATCACTATCAGTATGTAGTGCCGCGACATGGGCTGTTACCACGGCAACTGTTATTTATTACTCATATGTACACCTGTTCTAGATGCTGTTGGCTGGTGTGAAGTATGCCGTTCATATTTTGTGATCATGTTTTGAAAATGTCTCAGATTTAATGCTTTGTTGTAAGTCCATGATTTGTGTTCACACAACCCATCTCTAATCACATCTGTTCACGCAACCCATCTCTAATCACGTCTGTTCACGCAACCCATCTCTAATCACGTCTGTTAATATTTAATGTACCGTATTCGACGTAATAATCACCCAGGGCGCTCTCAAAATTAGAAAGAGGGGGCTCTTATTAGAATATAATTTCGGTGAAAGAGTTGAAAGATCGTAAATTTTGTGGTTTAGGCTGACAGCCTGAAATGATACAAAAGAAAAGTCTGTGCGTATTAGACACGCCAGATATATTTTTCCAGAATTTAATTAAGGGTGCATATAACACACAAAGGGTGCTAATTGGGATTGTTCACTAGCCAATATATTAGCAAATATCGCCGTGGGCGCTTATTAGAGCGGGGCGCTTATTACGTCGAATACTGTATATCTAATTCAGTTCAAATAGTTTTGTTAACTTTTGTGATCTATTGAAATTGTTGTAGTAGATTGAAGAGATTATATGACACTGTCAAAAAATACATTTTTTAATGCGATCTATTTTTTATAAAACATTCCACCTTGGTCTGGGAACAAAGACAGCAGATCTCCTTATATGGTAATTATGTAGATGTTAATGCTGGCTTTTCTACAGCTGTTTTGTGGCAGGATTTTAAACTGGTTCTTTAGTTCACATGCTGATTTTTGAAAGAGTCTCATTGTACCGCTTTCTTCACATATTTGTGTTCCGGTTACCATTAGCTGTTATATAGAAACA